CTTTCAAATCCGTTGAGTAGATACAGTGTTATAAAATAACAAAGTGACTAACTCGAATACTTTTAGTATTTGTAATGTTATTATTGACCGACTTCCAAAAAGGAGAAGGTTCTCAATTCGTCGTTACCTTTTTTTTTCTTTTTTTTATATTGTTATAAAGTTTAGTTTTTTTTTTATTTAAGTAAAAAAGTTAAATGCAACAATAGGTGGACTACTCAAAATACACTTTCGAGATCTCTGTCCCATGCATTCTCCTAAAAGCAGGGGTCGAGTATAATAGCTGAAATGAGTAATAATAAAATATGCAACGAATGTAACCGTCACTAAAGATATACAATGAAATAAATAGTATGTAATTTAAATTTGTAATGTACCATGCAGGTCTACGACCCATTTAAATACAATACACCCACGACCCATTTAAATCGATTAAGTATTTACTAAATTATTTATTTATCTGATTTATTTATTACAAGATTAGTTTACGGAAGATGACTAATAATCTATTGACATAATATATTAAGATTGTATAAAAATTATCATGTAACTAGCGACTCATCCTCGTTCCGCTCGAGTTCGTCCCTAGGTACGTTCTGAAGGTTTCTCTCAGAGATGATATATTTTCCCGCAATATTAAGTATCCTATATATTGACCCGGATATCCAGCTATCATCATACCAAATTTCATCAAAATCTGTCCTGTGGTTTTCTCGTGATGCGTTACTAGACAGACAGACAGACAAACAAACAAAAATTCTAAAAACTATATAGATTCGGCATCTGTGTCGATAATAATAACTCTTTCAATAAGATTTTCCAAAAAAAATATTATAAATGTACAAATTCGACTCAATTACAATTTTATTATATGTATAGATATCCTGCCTTGAAAATTGTTACATTTGAATAAATGAACTCGTTTTATTATTGTTACTTTCCAGAGTTATGAAGACGAAGTACTGCAAAGTGAGATTTGCGTAGAAAGATATGAAAATAAAGCGTTTCTCATTCTATTAAGAAATAAGGAGTTCATTTATTTATATAAATATAAATATGTTGGGACATTAACACACAGCGCCATCTAGTTCCTTGGTAAGCTGCTAGGCTTGTGTTATGGATACCAGACAGTTGATACACTACACATATATAACTTTAAATACATACGTATTATTAATAAAAAAACACCCATGACTGGAGTACAAACATTCGTGCTCATCACACAAATGAATGCCCCCAGCGGGACTCGAACCCGCGACTGCTGGCACAGCAAGTAGAGTCACTACACACGGAGCCAAACGTGTCGTCAAATTTGTGAATATAATAGAGACGTAATATGACTTTATTTATTTAAATTTAATCATTGTACGTAACATATGTTTAATTTAGAGGAAAAAAAAGTTTCTGAATTTTAGTTTTTAGGTCTTGGTTTATAGGATAGATAAATTAATTCAATATATATTCAAAACAACATAAACAAGTATGAGTTTAGGTCACACTTTAGTGCTATAATTAAATAAATATGTTGGGACATTAACACACAGCACCATCTATTTGCATGGTAAGCTACGAGTATGAGAAATATAATTTTAACAAAAATGATATAATATTACATAGATAACATGTAATTTCATAATGTTAAACGACATATACCTACTTATTACAATATAATAAATAATAATAAATATGTTGGGACATCAACACAGCACCATCTGGTTCCATGGTAACCTACAAGGCTTGTGTTATGAATACCAGATAGTTGATTCTTGATACATTACACATATCATACATATTATAAATATAAACACTCAAGACTGGAGTACGAACATTCGTACTCATCACACAAATGAATGCCCCCAGCAGAACTCGAACCCGCGACCGCTGGCACAGCAAGTAGGATCACTATAAACAGAACCAAATGCGTCTTCGAAAATATATAGAACGAGAGAGAATTTTCTCTTAGTTATAATATAATCATTTTTCGTCGTAATTTGTATCATTTTTATATTACAGTTAAAAGAATCTATTATTTCAATATTCTTTGACTTTGTCTAAATTTCTAAGAACTTCGTCGGTAAAAGAATGAAAGGACAAGACAAAAGTATAGTATTATACCATTTTCAGAACTCTTACAAAAACAAATCGCTTAGAGTTTTTTTTTTAACTAGCGGCTCACCCTCGCTTCGCTCGGGTTCGTCGCTAGGTACGTTTTAAATAGATATAAAAAGAAAAAATCTTTCTTTCTCACATTTTAATTATATGTTTTAATACTTACCTATTCCGGACTAAGAGAAATCCAAAAATTAAAATATCATAAAAATTGGAACGCGGTCGAACGGGATAAAAAGTATCCTATGTCCTTCTCCTGGCTCTAAACTACCTCCCTGCCAATTTTCAGCTAAATCGGTTCAGCCGTTCTTGAGTTATAAGCGAAGTAACTAACACGACTTTCTTTTATATATATAGATTTCGACTTTATTGTACAGTAGTTGAACATATCTCTTTTAGGTTTCATATTATTTTATTTTAAAAGTTCATTTTCATGGAATTTTCCTAGAATAAGAAAACGTTTATTGTATTAGTGAAATATTATATTTGAATTATTTCAGTTTGGGACTTCTTTTGTCAGAGTTCCGTTTTAATAATCTCGTTATTAGGATAAAGGTAAATTGTTTTCCGTTGGGTAGATATAGGAACATTTTATTCAATTTAACAAAGGCATATATAAACAACGATGATTGATTGCGACAATGTACAAAAATAACGATATTTTATTATTATATGGGCTTATGCGAGAGAAAATTGACATACTCGTATGTGTTTTAGCCTACATTTTAAATGCTATTTTTATAATATGTATGTACCTATTTAAAGTTATATATGAGTAGTGTATCAACTATCTGGTATCCGTAACACAAGCCTCGTAGCTTACCATGGAACTAGATGGTGCTGTGTGTTAGTGTCCTAATATATTTATTTATTTTTTGTGAAATATAAATGACTATAAGTTGGTGTTTTTAAAAATAAATTATTCTTTATTAAAAAGTATCTTGGTAATAGAGACACGGAACGTCGGAAAGAAGTACATCTTCTCCCTTCTCTTCTCTCTCTCTCTCCCTCTCTCTAATCTGTACGAAGTACTTTAAGATACATTAGTTAATTAAGCGGAGAAACTATATTGGATTCTTTCTATACTTTTCAAATCTTTTATGAAACCCATTTGGTCTGTTTAGTTTAAGACTGAAGAGGAAAATAGTAACAAGTTTCATTTTGTCAGAGTTTAGTTTAACTGAATTTTACCGAATCTAATGAAAAGTTTTATTAACGTTGACATTATTGACAAAGTTTTTGTTTCTAGTGAAAAGATAGTTATTGAGCACAGATAACTTCCTTTGCTGTATTTTTACATTAAAAGTTTCCGGTCTTTTAAACAAGCAATTTTATCGATCTTTAGATGAAAATGTATATGTACATATACGTAACTTTAAAGAATATTTTATTATTTCTTACTACCAGATTTTTACTTGATTTGCTACAAGAAAAATAAAAACAAATCTATCCCACGGGAACCGTACGTTTTTCCGGGATAAAAAGTAGCCTATGTTCAATTTCAGACTATAATCTATCTCTGTGTTAAATTTCATCCAGATCCGTTCAGCCGTTCTGGCGTGATTGAGTAACGAACTTCCATGCAAACAACCAAACTTTCACATTTATAATATTAGTAAGATTCGTTTTTTAAATTTAATAAAATTTATACTTATATGTATGTGCGTGCGTGTGTTAGTAATTTTTCTCCTCTTAAATGGCTTGACCGATTTTGGTGAGCTTGTGTATTCATGTCATCATTATGGTCACTTGGATGGTTCTTAATTATAGTCGGGATAGCTAGGTGGCGCTGTAATCAAGATCTATTTTTTTTTAATTTTCCCTAAAAACGGGATCTGTGGCAGAACTACGTTTTTTTAAAATTCCACATTATGGCAGACTACAAAAAAATATTTGTAGTTACTTTTAATTTGTTTTTATCGGAAGATAAGACAGATGGTTGTAGGTACGCTTTATAATTGTTCATGCTATTTTTTGTTGATCTTGTATACCATAAAAGTCGTGTAAACATGTCAGTCGGATAGTAAATATTGGGAGGCCTGAAACATCACTATTAAATGAGCGTCACAACATAATTCACTTTGAAAGATATCGTACAGTCCCAACATATTTTATTTTGGGTGGTCCCGTTTACGTACATTTGTAAAATTTCTGACAGATATAATGTATCTAAAGATATTGAGAATTTTAATGAAGCAGAAGTAACATAAACGTAACTTAAACTCAAACGTTATGTTAATATTCGATTAATCATTAATTCTAGTTATTTTAGAAATTATTTTGAATTTCAGTGTTGTTTAAGTGGAAAAAATATTTGAAAATTTCCATCTTTTAGTGTTTGTCGTTGTTACAATGACTGGCATTTTCAGATAAAAAGTTGTGACCTCATTCGAATGGAACGACTTTCCTAAAATAGTGCTTTGACAATGATTAATAACTTCCGCTATGTCATTTTTATGTATAAGGAAAACCAGTGCGAAAGAAATGTTTCATTCATTCATTCATTCATTCAATTTTATCTATGATGTCGATAGAGACAAAGGCTTAAAACATAAAACAATATACAAAGTAAAAATAACAAAATGATGTGCTTAACAGCTACAAAATAAGGCAGTTAAGTTACAACCGACTCAAAATACAGTAGGTACTCCTAAAAAGAGTCCAATAAAAACTATAATTGCCTTCAAAACTTTGAGTCAGTGTATTTAATATAATTTAAAAGCTTCTGGATACAGATTTAACTTGCCTTAATTCTCTAAAGAAACTATTGGATAGAGTAATAGGATTTACGTAATCAACTAAAGTTACTAATATAACTTAATTTTTTGTCCATAACAAGATTTCACATCCGGTAACATCAAAATATTGTACGTTTATAACCGTTTACCAAACAGGATACCCGTACCCGTCACAACTTCAAGGCTACAACATATTCCTCACCAACATTCTGCGACCACTGTGGATCGCTCCTCTACGGCCTGATCCATCAAGGGCTCAAGTGTCAAGGTACAACGACGGCGCGCTGCAACTGCTATACTTGCTTACTGCTTACTCTTCTTCAAATCTATTACAGCTTGGTGGTGGTCATGCTCATGCCGTCTATCGTCATTCTTTTCTAACATCTAGCATTTGACAACGATATTGGAATATTTCATTAAGTTTTTCTATGTAATGGCTTATTTTTTTTTAAGATCAGTAGATATTAATTTGATTTTGGTGTTCTTGCGAAGGCCGCGCACGCCCCCCACAAATGGAACACGTGGACGTTCCTTACTCCAACATTTTGTGACCATTGTGGCACGATGCTCCATGGTCTCGCACACCAGGGATTTAAATGCGGAGGTATACTTGGGTACATGAATAGGCCCCCGAGGAACTTAGTTCCTACGTAACCCCTTAGCGGCAGTGGATGTCACGGGAACTACCATGTCACAATGTGTTGTAGATGCATAAAAGTTACATTTTTCGTTCAAAATAATAAAATCCCTTTCCAATCGACGAGAAAGTCAGACAATGAATTTTAAGATTCTTTCAATTTGAAGGTAAATTTAGAAACGATCCCCGCACGATTGTATTAATTGGATATCCAGACTTGATACAGTATCGATATTGAATAAATCGTCCCAACGCTCAGTCGATTAACTGATTTATTTAATGTAATTTATAACTTCCGAACTCCTCTAGTTGCTGTGTTCTGTATCGCATTCATCCCATCTGTTGGCTGGAAACTTTGTAAAACGCATGCATTTATATGTACACACATTGTTCGCTTGCAACTTGTAGTTTTCTATTTACTGTGGTATTTCCACTCCCAGCGTTATGCAGAAAAATAAATTACTACGATCTTGCCTTTGAAACTTGCCTGATGAGCACATTCTTTTAATTATTTTTTGCATGAACTAGTCTATTCAGTTTTTTTTTTTTCACTGTTTATCTTCAAGCATTTGCCTTTTTCGTAATAAAGTATTAGCTAGCTGCTAGATTGTTTATTCATAACTCTATTAAACTTTAACTTATTTTGTTTTACATTTGAAATTTCGGTGCTACCCGAATTAATATTTCAAACAATTCTATTTTAAAAAACATAACTTACATGCTTTTAAAACGAGCTATATTTAAGATTATTTATTGTGAAATCTGTAAAATATACCGACTCAAAATAAGGTCGACATGGACAAAGTTGGAATTGTGAATGATAAAAGCAAATTTATGCACAATCAAAAGTCAATTTCACGCCCTGGTCCTTTATTATTAAACCAACATTCATTTTTTATGCCACCCTCGTTCCTGACGATCAATTTTATTAATATAAGAGTGATTCTCCTCTTGCATGTAAATTCACTTACTTAAAGTGCATTTTAAATTGAATATATAAATATATTGTAAAACTCTTACTACAATATTTTTTATTATAAACAACATGCCGAGAACCATATTAAGTAATTACTTATGTACTATGAAAAGCTAAAATATAGACATGTATATTTTAAATATTTTATATGATATACATATGTGTTCATGAAAATGTCTGGCAGTATGTGACATGAACGTGCACAAACGATGCGAGGAGTCTGTACCGAATCTGTGCGGCTGCGACCACACCGAGCGGCGCGGGCGCATACAGCTCTCCGTGTCTTGTGTTGGGAACAAGCTTACTGTTATCGGTATGTATATATTTACTGCCAAATAGCCTATCGTTCAATTTTCTAATAGAATACATAGAAACTCTAGAATACATGTTTAGGTATACAACAAAGAAAAATTGAAATATCGTATAGGTGTTTTTTTTTTATAATTGCTATGATATTTAAATTAGTAACAATAGTATATACCAGTCGTATATACCAGTCGTATATACCAGTCGTAACACGCTTGCTCAAGAAACCGAAATGAAGCTGGTTCAGATCCCGAGTCTCGCACCTCTTATATTTTCAATGTGCGAATCCTGTGCAATATTATTACCACTTGTCTGACGGTGAAGGAAAACATTGTGAGGAAACCTGCATGTCTGAGAGAACCTAACAAGTTTTCAAAAGATATGTGATGTCCGTCAACCCGCACTTGGCCAGCGTGGTGGTCATATCCCCCTCGTGTTGAATGGACGCCCGTGGATACTGATTAACGTCCCCCTGATAGATATAAGAGGGACGTTAATAAGTATTGAATACATAGTATTGTATAGTTTACTATTTAAATATTTCATATTGTTACTAGCAGAACCCGCGGCTTCGCTCGCGCTAAAACTACCAAAAAACTCTAAAAAGGTAGTTTCCATATAAACTTTCATCCCGTATTTTAACCCCTTATGGGATGAATTTCGAAAAATGCTAAAACACGTATTTATTTAATTGTATTGAAGAGCATTAATACAAAGTTTCAAGTGATTCTGATGATAAATATTTTTTTGGCTTGTATTAGGTATAACGTGTTTTCCCGCAGGCATGAGATAATCTCCCGCGGTGAAAAGAATGCCCTCCAACTATCTGCACACAAAAAATTACGCCAATCCGTCACTCCTTTTTGACGTGAAAGAAGGACAAACAAACAAACACACTTTCACATTTATAATATTAGTATGAATTATAATATTAGTATGGATAGTCATAGTCAGGCATTGTCACCAAACCTAATGTTTGGAATTTGAATTCCATTCTAGGCTTATAGTTGTATATGTCTACCAAACTGTCTATTTCGCAATTTCGGAGTTATTTATATCCAAGAGTGACGTTAGTTGCCAACTTAATATGTGTTGTTTTAATATAGGAAAACTGTAGGTATACTTACTTGATAATAAACAAATATTTTGCCATATTTTCAGTTAAGCAAGGCCGAAATTTGATCCCAATGGATCCGAACGGCCTCTCCGATCCCTATGTGAAGCTTAAGCTGATCCCGGATTCTGACAATGTCAAGAAAAAAACCAAGACCATCCGTAGCACTCTCAATCCTGAATGGAATGAGACGCTAACATTCGATCTCAAGCCTGAGGATAAAGATCGTAGACTTCTCTTAGAGGTGAAGAAACTTTTGTAAATCATCATGTAACAAAAAGTGACAGAACTAAAGAGTACTAACCTTTTATAACATACAAACCATAATATATTTAGTAGAAATAAAATCGTTGTTTCGTATATTTCTTTAAAAAAAGCATCTTAGATGTATGTACAGTGTGGACTACGAATGAGTATATATTATCTAAAGTAAAATAGAAACATTGGGTTCGTTTTAATTTAGTATAATATCGAATTTATTTCGGTTAAACTCGATTATATTATATATTATGAATATAGTGCTTCATTTTGAAGATGAGCAAATTCCCCAATGGCAAATTGCAGAAATAACTTCACTTTAAGACACATTTTTTCTACATTTTTGTCTACATTAAGTGTCTCCATCAAAGTTTTCGCAGAAAAACTGAACTGTTACTGGGTCTATTAAGTATGTAGGTACATAAAAAAAAGACCACCTGGGAAATCTACCGACCATAAAGAGATATTTTACCTTTCAAGTGTATTTTCTTTTTATAATAAGTAAGAATAAATTGTAAATAATATCTTTCACTTATCCAGGTTTGGGATTGGGATAGAACATCCCGTAACGACTTCATGGGATCGCTCTCTTTCGGGATATCAGAGGTGATGAAAGCACCAGCCGACGGTTGGTTCAAACTTCTCACTCAAGAGGAAGGTGATTATTACAACGTGCCAGTGCCAGAAGAGGGCGCTGATTTGGCCCAACTAAAGAACCAGATGAAGGCGACTAATCTCGGGGCCAAGAGACCACCACCCCCGCCAGATAGAGAAGTACCCCACAATATGGCGGCCGCAGACGTTATTAGGGCATCCGATTTCAACTTCATAATGGTGCTCGGGAAAGGGTCGTTTGGAAAGGTATGGTTTTATTTCGAAATTAGTGACTTTACACTAATATTTCGCTGGACTTAATGTATTGGGATGAAAAGTATCCTACGTTATCTCTATCCCGTATACTATCCACAGAAAAAATACGAGCAGACGAAATTTGCTTTGTTGTTTAGTTTCTGCGTAAATAAATACAAGAAAATACACAAACCTACTTAGATACTCGTACATGTATATAATATCAGTAAAGAAATCTCAATAATATATACTTAATCTATAGGTACATATAATAAAATTCTGAGTCGAATCTGCACATTAAATATTTTTTGAAAATCTTATTGAGATAGTCATTATTATCGATACAGAGGCCAATTCTATAGTATTTAGAAATTTTGTCTGTCTGTATGTCTGTCTGTGACCGCATCACGGAAAAACCACTGGAGAGATTTCGATGAAATTTGCTATGATGGCAGCTGATTATCCGGTTCAACATATAGGCTACTTTTTACTGTGAGAAAAGATCTCATCTCTGAGAAATGTATACTAAACGTTAAAACATAAGTAGGGACGAACACGAGCGGATCGAGGTTGAGTCGCTAGTTACATAAAAAATTACTAACTATGAAGTTAAAATTCCATATTAAATTCAATTTTAGTCATAATAACCTTATATAAAACGACAGAGCCTATTCTGATAGAACTTTCACAGAATAATAGAGGAATAAATAGCGATGATACAAATACTGTTTATTCATAAAGTTTTGTGATGAGGTTTTTACGCGCGGTTTAACGAGCTCCAGTGGCGCAATTGGTTAGCGCACGGTACTTATAAGACAGTGTTCGTGTGAGACATGCCGGGGTTGTGAGTTCGAGCCTCACCTGGAGCATATTTTTTTACATCTATTCTTTTAAAATATTTAATAGAAATTGTCTATAATTGATATGGAGTATGTTATAAAAATACGTTTTTTTTATTTTATAACACGCTTTTATATTGATACAATAAAATATCGTTTAAATTACTTTATTGTAGTTACGGATTTTATGTACTTTTGTTTTATTTCGTTTGTAGTTTTTTTTTTCATTTATTTATTGGACAAATTGGACCAACTTATGCCGAAACGTAGATACCAAATGTATAAAAATATTCGGAAAGCAATTTGCAATGAAATTTTCATATTTATATTTTCGCTTTATTTCATACATTTATTATTAAATATATTTAGTAGGTAATTCACCTTTTTCGAGTTATAAAAATAGATCGTTAGTATAAATTAGTTTTGAACATATGTAATTTTTACATAATAACCTTGTTTGCCAAGTCGGTTAATTTTCAAAATTCTTTGAAACTAAAAGCAAATTTCGCAGGATTGACGTTAGTTTATAGTTAAAGCATTTGATACATCATACATAAATGCCCAACATTTTTATTTCTTGGTATATTCATAGCTCGAATGACTCATATTTTAAAAATTCTATGATTAATTCAAAACGATATATTCAAGTCTGGATGAAATATTACAACGAGACGTTTCGGATGCATTTTAATACATACTTTAGTATAAAATATTTACAAAATATATTTTTAAAGGTAATGTTAGCGGAGAGGCGCGGCACAGACGAGCTGTACGCCATTAAGATTTTGAAGAAAGACATTATAATTCAAGACGATGACGTAGAATGCACGATGGTTGAGAAAAGAGTGCTAGCCCTCAGCAGCAAACCGCCTTTCCTTGTGCAGTTGCATTCGTGTTTCCAAACTATGGTAAGTTTATGTTATTTTAATGAGATTTTGATTATTTTTCTATAACACTAGATCATTGGCAGTGGTAGCCCAGTGGTAACGGGCTCGCTTGAGGAAAAGGTTTCAAATCCCGGGTCCTGAACCTCTGATATTCTCATGTGCGAATCATATCCAACATGATTACCACTTGTCTTACGGTGAAGGAAAACATTGTGAGGAAACCTGCATGTCTGAGAGAACCTAGTCAGTTTTCTAAAAATATGTGAAGTCCGTCCGCACTCGGCCAGCGTGGTGGATTATGGCCTGATTCCCCTCGTACTGAAGGGAGGCCCGTGCCCAGCAGTGAGACTTTAAAAAGGCCTAATAAAAAGGCCTAAAAACAGTACAATACAATGCTATGATCACTTACCTTCTGATTTATAATGACCTATTAATTAATATACGTTAATTAGACCGATTTGACAAAAAGTGGGAGGTGTTCAATTTAGATGTGTCTATGTTTTGTATGTGTTTGTAACTTGAACTGATTTTAAGTTTATTAGAAATGGGTTCTAGTCAAAGGTTTGAAGTTTGGTATTGAAGATAAAATCCACCACTAAGTGCTGATTTTTTACTTAAAAAAAATTGAATTATAATAATCAATGTACTTCATTATAATGAACATCGCATGTCATTTGCCACATATTTTTTTTAAAGGGTTTGTTCATATAGATCTTGACCAGATCCTTATAGGCAATACGAAAAAATCTTATCATCTAAAAATCTTATTCTACCTTTTTTCTACCTACTTAAACACTGATTGTTTGATTCTTGACTGCTTGACTCAAAAGAGTGCTGTTGCAAACACCAAGATCCCAACTTGCCTTTACATAAAGATTTTTTCAGGAAATCTATTAAAATCATTACTCAATAAAATTGATTGAGGCTGAGAGTGGTTTTTAATAAAAGGATAAATTAAGAAGATAAACTGTCCGACCTATAACTAAAATAAAAACTGCAAAAAATTATGTCGCGACGTTGTTTTGTTGCTACGCGGAAGGAGGCATACCCATAAATCGACAAAGGCGCTTTGGGATTCATGATAACGCACTACTATTTAAATGCGAGCCTTGCTACGTGTATGTATGTCTCCGACTGTATAATACTTTAAAATGTTCTCATCTTTTAAGTTTTTTAACGTTGTGGTTTCTTTTTTAATTTTTTTTTTAATTTTATTTACAGCTTTTTAGTTTTTATCAGTTTTCAGAAAGTCATTTGGCCATTTCTTATTACTTTTAAACATAATATACATAAGTTGTATATATTTTTCTGATCGCCTCTTAAAAACCTTCACCTTTCTACCACACTCAATAGATTTGGAAGTTTTTTTTTTTATAAAGGCACAAATTGATGCCTGAAATTCGCCATTTTCATTTTTATTATTATCCGTATATTCAGTGACACCCGCGATATCAATCCGAATCTGACGACGTATGAATTATAATGAACATCGATCGGATAAACCGTTTAGTACTCGTAGTTACGATCAAACATAGGGTCGGACATACATACATATGGATGTCGGCTAAAAAAATAATTACAACATACAATGTATTACATTCATAATAGTTGTCTGATTAATATTACATTATTGAGAGTGATAAGAATAGAGAGTGCACGTTGTGTCTGCGCGTACACTTGTGCACTATAATATCTCCTGCGCAGTTGGCTAGTCTCAATGAGATTGGCCGCCGTGGCCGGAATCGGCTAGGAGAACATCACATCATATTACATTATTAAATAATAGTCGTGTTATCTACATAGATAATAATTATCTGTCTATATAATTAAAAATGAATCGCTATATGTGTTGCTAAGCACAAAACTCGAAAATAATTAGACTAGTTCGGTCATTTTTTTATTCAAATTCGCTAAAGTCCGAGGAAGGTTCTTATGAAGAGAAAAATTGAAAAAAAAATGCCAGGAAAAACGTAAATATACGATTTTTCTAATCGGGCCTGCTACACAATAGATTTGACAGAACGAGGTCTGTCGGGTCAGCAGTATTATAATATACAGATAACATTAATTATAACTTGTATAAATAATCTAATTATTTATTAAATTTTTATTTTATTATTTATTAATTATTTGGAGTTATTATCTATATTATGACAATTTATAACGATAAAAAAATGAAGAATTATTTAATTTTAAATATTTTATAACAAATAATATATAAAGTAATTTCATCCCTAGCAGTTTAATTCGAATTTAATGTTATTGGAACCCTAAATGATTCCAACGCGAAAATCGAAAACTCGGAATAAAACACCCTATATTTAGCCCTACAAACTCCTCTATCTTTCAGTAAAAGTCCCATTACTATCAAGCCATTCCAAAGATTGTTCCGGGATAATCGATACGTAGTTAACGTACGAAATTTTTTTTTGTATATATTGAAAAAATAAGAGCGTTTTAGTAGTATTATTATCAAAAGTTATTCTACTACATTCACATATCGTTTTCCACTCTAATCATTTCTCTGAGAAACAGTGCTTAAACTAAAAAACGTACGAGTGGGTATATTGGCTAGCATGAATAACCGTCTGTAACCACAGATCTACGAGCTCCGGCTCCTAGAGTTATATTCTAAATCGGACAAATAGTTTTGGTGTTTTAATTGATTAGATTGAGTTGGCTTTATTTCACCCAACTGTCTCAAAGCTTGATCTCTCACTCGTAGTGAACGTATTGCCGATTTGTTGATGTTTGAGATTGAAAGGAATATAGAGTGCACTTTTGTTTGCGCACACACGCACTGCTCTATATCTTTACATGGCTATTCTCAATGAGATTGGCCATCGTGGATGAAATCAGTCAGAAGAGCTCTACTTTCTTTACATATAAAAATATATTGTATTCAGTCCTTTTTAATATCCCACTGCTGGGCACGAGCCTCCCTTGAATACAGGCGGATCAGGTCATAGTCCACCACGCTGGCCAAGTACGGGTTGGCAGACTGCACATGTCTTTCGAAAACTTGCTAGGTTCTCTCGGACATGCAGATTTCCTCTCGATGTCTCCCTCCACTGTAAGACAAGTGGTAATCACGTTGAAAATGATTCGCACATGAAAATATCAGAGGTGCGAGACCCGGGATTTGAACCCGCTTCAGTCGGTTTCCCAAGCGTGCGCGTTACCACTGGACTACCACTATATCTATAAAAATATATTAGGGAAAATAATGTTTGTCAGTAAATCCAACAAATATTGTTGTGTAACGATGAAATGGTCAAGATAATGGTATCCTTTATTTGATTAGGGATATGTGATACTTTCTTATCGTCGCAGTATACTTTTGTTTGTCATACGTAACTTAAGATGAAGATTTTTTTTTTCAATAAGTATTTAAGTACCTCACAGCTGAAGCTTTTAGGTCTATCCGGGGAAATTATGATATAGAAACTCACCAAGATTTGATTTTTTTTTCTTGGTTTTTATTAGGGTTCCATTCCCGGGGGGTGCTAACGGAACTTATTACTAAGCCTCCAAAGTCCGTCCATCCTTCAGAGGGCTGTATGAACCATGATAGGTTGAAAGTTGAAACTTTCACAGAGTGTATATTTCTATTGCAGTTATTACAACGAATAATAAAAAACTGAGACGGCGAATTTAAAGAAGGCTCCCATGCAAATAAAAAAAATCGTTTATGTTACGGAACCTTCCGTGTGTGAGTCCGACTGGCACTTGATTTTAAAAAAATTAATATTATTTTTTAATAAAACAAGTACTGAATCTCTTATTTTATCTCATATTATATTGTTTCAAACTAAATGCAAGAACTAAAAGTAATACTTGTAAAGTAAAGTAACACTTGTCCTCTGTAAGACAATTTGTAAAATAAAAAAAATAACGAAAAGAGTTTTTATGTTTTCCTATTATTAATATTTTATCGTATGTATTGTATTCTGCTCATTTTTTAACGTCCCACTGCTGAGCACAGGCCTCCCTTCAGTACGAGGGGCATCAGGCCGTAGTCCACCACGCTGGCCAAGTGCGGGTTGGCGGACTACACATGTCTTTTGAAAACTTTTTTTAATAATAAATGTAAATGTTCCTTCCCTATTATTTCAGGATCGACTGTACTTCGTGATGGAGTACGTGAACGGTGGAGATCTAATGTTCCAAATTCAACAATGCGGCAAATTCAAAGAACCAGTCGCCGTGTAAGTTTCTCACTCATGTATATTTCGTTCTTAGTTAGTTCCTAATAGTTTTTATATCTAAGAAATTGACATCAATATGAAGACAAAAAAAAAGTGATATTAAAAAATTGCATTATGAAATAATGAATAATTATTAATTTATACATATAATAAAATTCTAAGTCGAATCTGTACATTAAATATTTTTTTGGAAAATCTTATTGAAATAGACATTATTATCGATACAGAGGCCGAATCTATAGTTTTTAGAATTTTTGTCTGTCTGTCTGTTACCGCATCACAGAAAAAGTACTGGAGGGATTTTGATGAAATTTGGTATGGTGATAGCCAGTTATCCGGGTCAAGTATAGGATACTTTTTACAGAGGGAAAATATCTCTATTAAAAATAGCTTATCTTGAAAAAACAATAGCTCTATTTTATTTGGTTTTTGGTCATCTGAATGCGGGCGGAGCCGCGGGCAATGCTAGTATTATAAATAAATTCTTAGGTATATTAATTGATTTTAAAAGATAATTTATTAATTACGTGGGTACATCAAAGGCGGGGTCTTTTGATTACGACAGCGCGGTGCCTTGTGTTTGATATAGTGAAGCGGGTTCGAACCCCAGATCTTTCACCTTTGACATTTTCTTGGGCAAATCTCGTTTAACATTATCATCTCATTAACACAATTACGACTTATTAGTATGATTAAGAAACCATCGTTAGGAAATATGAACTTATAAAAAACTAGTTTTCAAACGACGTTATAAATATTTTTCTATAGACCAGCTTAGTTTAAAGGACTAAATCTGTATAGGTAAATATTATAAAAGTGAAAGTTTGTGAGTATGTATGGATATTTGTGACTCTTTCACGCCAGAACGGCTGAACGGATCTGGATGAAATTTGGCACAGAGATAGATTATAGTCTGGAGTAACAACACATAGGCTACTTTTTATCCCGAAAAAATATACGGTTCCCGAGGGATAATTTGTTTAGAAATATAATTATATAACAATATAATCAATCGTACTCATATATTATACTATTATCCTTAAAATATTTTTATGTTAAAATTATTATTTATATTGGTTCAAACTATGATAATTAAAAAAAAAATATTTATATATTACAGTTTCTACGCAGCCGAAATAGCTATCGGTTTATTCTTCCTCCATTCCCGCGGGATAATCTATCGCGATTTGAAACTCGACAACGTCCTTTTAGACCAAGACGGCCATATTAAAATCGCTGATTTCGGCATGTGCAAGGAAGGTATCACCGGCGACAAAACTACCAAGACCTTCTGTGGCACACCAGATTATATTGCCCCGGAGATCATTTTATACCAGCCGTATGGGAAGTCGGTTGATTGGTGGGCGTATGGTGTGCTTTTGTATGAGATGTTGGTCGGACAGCCGCCGTTTGATGGTGAAGATGAAGAAGAACTGTTCGCGGCCATCACGGATAATAGTGTATCTTACCCAAAAACTCTAAGCAAGGTCAGTTGTATACATCTTCTTTATATATATAATTCTTCTGTGAGTGTGTATGTCACTGAACTTCTCTCAAACGACTGGACCGATTTTGATGAAATTTTTTGTGTGTGTTCAAGGGGATCTGGGAATGGTTTAGATTCACAATTTTGTTCGCTGGACAATGTTTTTTTAATTAATTTTTAATTTATTAGTAGTTGTTGATTTTGGAATGTTTTACATTGGATCCGACAGACGGCGCTACCATCGCAGTGTCAAATTTTAAATAATACTAGCGGACCCGACAGACGTTGTCCTGTCTACACGTCTTTAATTTGAAAATTTCAAACTTTTTTTTTTAATAATTTTTTTGATGAAAATTATTATTCAAATTGTGAATCTAAACCATTCCCAGATCCCCTTGAACACACACAAAAAATTTCATCAAAATCGGTCCAGTCGTTTGAGAGAAGTTCAGTGACATACACACAGAAGAATTATATATATAAAGATTCGAATTTTAATTTTAGTCTGTCCCGACAGTTAGCGCTGCGATCAAATTAAAATGATGACGTTAGATATTGTCATAACATTTGAATAATAACTTTCATCAAAATGGTCCAGAATGTTTTAGCTTATTAAAAAAAGTTTGAAATTTTCAAATTAAAGACGTGTAGACAGGACAACGTCTGTCGGGTCCGCTAGTATTTGTATATTATGTCAAGAATTTATAATTTTTTTTTAGAAATTAAGCAAAAATAACATAATAACCTATTTTGGCCATCTTATCTGGTCCCTCTATTATTTAAAATTACTTCATCGTGATATTTTTTCATCGACATATCGAGGTCGATATTGATATTTTAATAAACGCTTTTTTTCCACGGCCGACATCCCTACCAGGAAGCGAAGGACGCGTGCAAGACGTTCCTGACGAAGAACCCTGCGAAGCGGCTCGGGTGCGGCGCGCGCGGGGAGGAGGACGTGCGCACGCACCCCTTCTTCCGGCGCATCGACTGGGCGCGCGTCGAGGCGAGGGACGTGCAGCCGCCGTTCAAGCCTAAGATTGTGAGTTGTCTTGCTTATGAAACATATTGTTGAATTTCTTATTGTGTACTAGCGACTTAAAAAATAATCCTTGTGAGTGTACGTTAGGAGATATACATATACATACAGTACATGCTATCGTGGACTTTTTCGTGAATTTTGCGTAATTTTTAAAGTTTTTCGATTTTGCGCTGCAACTAAATATTTTTGGAATAAAACTAAACTCTATATGAAGTCTTACAAACACCTCTATCTTTACCCCGGATAAATAATAAATATGTTGGGACATTAACAGAATTGAACTTCTAGTTCAATGCTAAGCTACGAGGTTTCTGTTATGGATACCAGGTAGTTGATTCACTACACATATATAACTTTAAGTGCATACATGCTATAAATATTACCTATGATTGGAGTACAAACATTCGTACTCATTACACAAATGAATGCCCCCAGCGGGGCTCGAACCCGCGACCGCTGGCACGGCAAGTAGGGTCACTACAAACTGAGCCAAATGTGTCGTCTAAAATAAAAGACAGACAGATAGACCAACAATTTTAAACAGGGTTTTTCACATTACATTAATGTGATCTGATTATATTATAACTGCATTAGTGATGATTATATTATAGCTACAATTTAACTGCCTCTAGCATGTACGTCTGCACACTCGGAGGTCCTGGGTTCGAGTCCCGGGTCGGGCCAAGTTTAGTTATTGAGTCTTTCTGTATAGTAAGTCTCAGTAACAGCCCGGAGTTGGGAAGTTGGCGGTGTTTCACCCCCGTGCCTCGGAGAACACGTAAAGCCGTCGGTCCTGCGCCGACACTCTCACCGGTCGTGTCGAGTAGTCGTCCCACCGGAGTATGAGAGTGACAGGAATAGAGAGTGCACTTGTGTCTGCGCGTACACGCGCTGCACTATAATGTTTTCTGCATAGTTGGCTAGTTTCAATGAGATTGGCCGCCGTGGCCAGAATCGGCTAGGAGAACATCATTATAGCTACAACACAACACCCGTGTAACTTTCAGAAACACCGCAAAGATGTGTCCAACTTCGACAAGCAGTTCACCCAAGAGAAGACAGAACTGACGCCGACCGACAAGCTGTTCATGATGAACCTCGACCAGACCGAGTTCATGGGCTTCTCTTTCCTCAACCCTGAATACGTTCAACATGTGTGAATTGATTGTAAGTTGTTGTTTTTTTTTTTTCATTTTATTCTGCCTGAACAATAAGTATGTGTGTATTCAAGTTCACACCAAAAACTCTATAGAAAAAATAACACCGTCAATAGTTCTCGAATTTCTTAATTTTCCGATAATTATTTAATACTTTAGCAAAAATGAAAGAATAGCCAAATCGGTTTCGCCGTTTTCAATTAATTAATGCGCTTACCAACAAAGCCTAGTAACATCTTTTTAAGATCTTTGCTACACCAATATACTCGTATACTGCCTTATAGATTTCGTGTACATAATTATTTACATTGGCCATATATTATTTCTATAGGGAGATAGTAGATACCAAACTTAACTTTGTTAGACGTCACTAGAATGCTTAGTTTTTATATAGCTCTTCTTAGTAAAACTGCCCTCCGAGTCGGTGGTAGACTCCTCACGGACTTACATACTGACAAAAGTGAGAGTGAGCGATTCAAAAGTGCTTGTAAAAGTCTATTCGAGTAAAGTATATAATTTAATTTGATATACGAGTAGATAACAAATGAAACGTCTTGCTGAGAAGAATACGAATAAATACTTAAAAAATAAAAATTATACTTTAAATTAAATCATTATGTATTAAATAAACATAAAAAAATCTAAATATTTTTTACAATTATTCTCAGTAAATGTACCTTCTGTTTTTTTTCTTTCAGAAACATCTTTCTGCATCATTGAAACTCAGCGCTGTCGTTTTGGTGGCCTCTGATAATTCATTTATCTCTTTCTGTCACTCTTACGATGAAATCGTATTGCTGTCTCGCTCATCGTTTCTTCATTTCAAATCCGAACTTGGCCCATCGAAGGTGAAACTTATTAATTCCACTAAAGGGATTTGGGAGATCATTATTTGCTCATTTTCCTTGTAGTTTTTAATTAATTTAAATGTTAAACCTGAGTATTACTCCAGTATTGTTTCTCCATCCGATGCGACATGGCCGTTGTGTTTGAATGCAATAAATACCGTTATCTCAACGAATTATTCGAAGCAATATTAAATGGTTAAAATTGTGATTAATAAAAATCGCGCTCTCTATAATTTTTAGTCTGTACTTTTTATAAGTGGTGATTCCGTTTTTAACATTTTCAACGGATGACATGAATCTTAGGCAAGGCTTCCATTGTCAAACTTCCAGTAATATAACGAGAAATGTTTATTTTAAAATTTATGAAACAAATAGTTTTCTTCGTAGTAGAAACTTTTTGAATATCGTGATCTTGGGGCCACTTGGTAATAGTGAATATTGTAGTAGCTATATACAAAAAATGCCAAAACAAAACGTTGCAAAGTATTTTCGACTTTATTCTAAGTTGATAAGGTTTAAATTACTATGCAAATTTTATCATACCACTTGTGCGTCTGTCCCTATTTATTATATAATAATTAATTTCTCATTCACATATCAGTGTTTTTAGCTAGATTATTGAATGTCGTGTCGTGTGGATGGCGCTAAATTTTAAGTATTAGTCATTTTTAGTGTTATCATTTTTAGCTTTTAGTACACCCTATTGATATCTTTCAAGTGTATACTAAAATGAATAGTTTTTTTTATTAATTTGTATGTATTTCTAAAGCCAAATCCGCCACTTTGTTTCATCAAACTCGATTAGAAGAATCTCTATGGAAATTTTATATAGTTAGAATGTTTAATTTTATTCTATGACATTAGTTTTGTAGTTAACTGTTTAATTCGCAACGGCTGTATGATGGCTGTCATTAAGTTTTCATTGTCTATGGTGTTAAGTTTGTTGTGTTTATGCATTTATGTATAAATTATCTATGGTTACGTTGTGTCACGTGTGTGTTTGTATGTGTATTGTGAGAATCGTGTGTGCGAGTTCTATTTTTGAAAGTTGCGGTTGTTGTAGACGATGGTGTCAAATGACTTGTAATTTATCTATGTTTTGAAATATTTTATAATCTGTGCCTCGTGCTGTTTTATTTTGTTTTTAATTATTTTTTATACATATTTGTCGTATCGTCTACAATTACCGCAAATATCAGCTGTCAGCTGTTAATAATATCGTGTAACTAAATAGCCTTACTAACTTAATTTATAATAAATAAACTAAAAATACATATAAAATCGTGTAACTCTTGCTAGGTATAAAAATGTGAATTTAAATGAAATGAAAAAGCAGTTGATTCTAAATTGAAAGTAATAAAATGACATTTTAGATGTTTATTTTTAAATGTAAGTATTAATTCTTGTGTTATTGAAAAAAATACTTAATATCAATGACGTAGGGTGCATTTTTGTTTGTAATTTTTTCAATAACAAAGTCGTCTGAGTCGTATTCAAAGGGACGGCTTCTTGAATCTGTATTATAGATTAAATCGTTTTCTTTTTAGGTGTAACGATAAATAGGAATAACATGCTGACTCATTCTTAAATATTTTATTATAAACCTAACACTACATATATCATATAATATAAGCAGATCAATAAAAAAAAATATCATTTGGTTACAAAAATTTGGATTTCAACATAAAATTCAATGAATAATAGATTTAAAAAAAAATGAGTTGGCATTATATAATAATCAGCTGGAGAGGGAGTCAAGTAGAGCGCACTCGCGCCTTCCCACGCCCGTGAGTCTGCGTCACAAGCACGTGTATGACCTTGGTTTTGCAACAATACTAATAAAATCCTTGAAAAAAAGCTAATAATGTTAACAAATACACCGTTTGTAAAAAAAATAATTTTCATTTTTATCGATAATCAACACGTATTGTGTATATAGAGATACCGGAATAAATATCTTGAAAGACATCACACTATACGAAAGGGAGATTCAACGACTAACTTCACACTGTAGCCAATAACGACTAACTTCGTACTATAGTCTCATCATTTTTTCCCAAACTATAACGTATAACTTCTATAAATAAATCTCTTCTATGATGTCTGCCTTTTTTATTTATGATGATGGAAAATATAAATTCTTAAACTAGATCGATGATAGCTTATAAGGATTCATAATACAAAATACTTTTAATTTTTTTTTTTTTTTTGGTCAATGGCATAGACGTGTTTAAGATGCAGACCCACTATCCTTTAACACCCCTTTAGTATTAAAAACACTTTTAATAAATAATATTTACAATTTAATACATAACAGCTGTAACAGACATTGTATATGAAATTAAGTCACACATTTTCGTGCTGAGTTTTTTAACTACATTTTGTCACTAATAAAAAAAAATAAAACAAAATGGCCGCAAATTTTTAAAGCCGTTAAAAATGTAAAAATAAATTTTACTAAAAGTGTTTCTAATAAAAAAAACACCCAGCAACACTAGCTTACATAGTAATAGCTTAAGTAGTATTAATCACTTGTATCGCGACACTACGTTTCGTTGTTCTCAATTATGCCCATAGGAAGAGTTTAAATGACATTCGAAAACGAATATCTTTACGATTTGGTTACGTCATGTTTTCGCGAGTTCTATTTCGTTCTGGGCAGTGGTAGTCCAGTGGTAACGTGCTCGCTTGGGAAACCGAGTGAAACGGGTTCAATTCTCGGGTCTCGCACCACTGATATCATGTGCTAATCATTTTCATCATGATTACCACTTGTCTTACGGTGAAGGAAAACATCGTGAAAAACTGCATGTCTAAGAGAACCTAGGAAGTTTTCGAAAAACGTGTGAAGTCCGCCAGCCCACGCTTGGCCGGCGTGGTGGGCTATGGCCTGATCCCCCTCGTATTAAAGGAAGGCCCGTGAACAGCTGTGGGACGGAAAAGTGGCTTAATACATTACGTTTTCGAAGTAGTTTTCGAATGTCATCTGAAAATAAACTAGGGCTCTGTTTAATAATACTCGGTATACTTAAAGATTGAGGCAACACACAAGCTATAACACTATACAAGACGCGACCAATATATCGAGCTTATTCTGGTAATAAGTGACACAGTATATAGCAAATAATAATGTTAGTTAACATTGAATCATTAACTGGACTGAGTTTTATGTGTAATACATAAAATATGACAAAAAATATGACTGACATACGCATTATATTTTTTTTAAATTGATCCAATCCTAAAGGTCATAGCATAATGCTGAATAGCCTTTAAACTTTCTGAATAAAAATACTATAAAAAGCAAAAAGATTTATTCTCATCGGACTGTTATTTCCAGAGATAAGCGCGTACAAACAAACAATCTTTTTAACTTTATACGTATAGAGGAAATATTAAAAACACGTAAGAAAGGAATCTCAACAAAATTTACTTTAAAATGTTATCATATTACTTGAAAACGTAAAGATTGCAAAAGACATTTCTGCATCGAAAGACAAATATAGACATCGCGTAAACAGTAATAGGTATAATTTAAATCAACCTGAAAAAAAAAAAACAATTTAAATTTTGCTACCGACGATACAAGTGCTCGAATTTTGCCTTCAGTCATACTGTATACATATGTATAGTAGGTATACAAATTCTAAATTCGTGCAAATAAAAAATGAGATTATGAATCGCGTCGCCTATATTCACTTCTCGCTTGAAAATTAATTAAATATGTATATTATGTAAATATCCATAAACTTAGTCCACTTTTAGTCCTCTATCAGAGAAGTAAATCATCAAGTGTGAATCGCATTGGGTTATAGCTTGTGCGTTTCTCCTCACATAACTCATAATATAGTAATAATTTTCTCGTTATATATGAGATATGGCGAATGCCACTGTATACTGAACACCAATTCTGATAGTTTCGTAATGGTAATAATGTTAGTTTGTAGCAACACTGAGGCATAGACAAACGAATGCGGATGTCAATCTATTTTTTTTTATTTAGTCATCGGTACCTGTAATAAATAATGACTAAGATCTGTTTTTTTTCTAATTATATTTTCTTTTTTTATTGATCGTTCGTCTGTCTATCCAGTGTGTAGACGTTTGACTATTATCCATCAGATATATTAATGTAGTGTTGCTAGCTTACGCCTTTACATCCACTTCGCTCTGACTTGGTCAGTATAGATATAGAGAGTTTAAAAAACTTATAGCTTATAATCATTATTACTAAGATCTCATTTGTATATAGCGTAACTATGACGTTGCGATTTTTAAAATATAAGCTTTTCTATGACACTCATTATAACGCTCTTCGACCGCTTTTTTTGCTTTACCTAATTAACTCTACTTCTGTAGAGCCTCTATTACTATCGTACTCGACCTTAACCTGTCGATACTTGTGTAGAAAAAAATAATAATTTAATTATTTAAAGTTGCCAGATAAATTTTTAGTTTAAGGTACAGTGTTGCCAATATAAATTATTGTAGTTATATGTTTAGATTTTAAAATGTCTGAGTACTGATATTAAATTGCGTAGTTAAGTCTAATTTGCTCTTCCTTTATAATTTTTTTTTTCTGAAAAAAGATGAAAAATTCTCCTTTTCCGTGTGTAACGTTTAAAATTTTAAATTTAGAATGAGCTATCGCTGGATGTTTTCCAATGAATCGTCGCAGTATAGGCCTAAAGTCCTTATAGATTAAGCCCGTAGTTATTACAGGTATACTCTTTAATATTAAACATAATAATGGTGTCGTCTTCGCAGTTTGCACGTCGCCTGTGCCAAAAATGTATATATATATTTTGTCTAATATAAAACAAAATCTAGTTTCCAATTATAAAATAGATATTTTACTAGTGTTTTTTTTTGGTACCAAGTCAGTGTTGAATTTCTGTAGTATACGATTTTAGATACATTTGTAAATTATTTTTATTTTCCACTAGCGACAAACCATCGCGTCGCTTCGCTTGATTCTTTTGATCGGAATCCTAAGTCTTTTTCTAAAATAAAAGTAGCCTACGTTACTCCTTATAACATCAGCTATCTACAGTGAAAGTCTCGTTAAAATCGGTCCAGCCGTTTCGGAGATTAGCCGGAACAAACACAAGACAGACAGACACAAATTTAAAATAACTGTGTTTTTCTTATAGGTACCGTTGTAGTTTCATATGCGTACAATAAAAAGTTATTATTTTGACTTTACTAACAAACACTTCAATTTTATTTATCTATATTGATTTTGATAACCGAAATATTATTAAAAAAAATAGACACTAGTAAAGTATAATTGAAACTTTGTCTCACCATAAATAAATGTTTAAAATTATTGCACCTTTTTTTAAAGTTAAATAAGGCGAATCCAAGGCTTATTCAAGTTGATCTTCTAATAACTTAACTAAAATCTCCTAAATCATTTGCGATTTAAAAGAATTTCTTTCACTTTTTACTGAATCGACCTCGACGACTGAAGGACCTCTAGTGCGAATTTTGAAAGTAAATGTGACAGTGATTATCTATTAGTAATTTACATACATCTATCTCCATCCGTTAAGGCGGTGGTAGCCCAGTGGTAACGCGCTCGCTTGGGAAACCGAGTGAAGCGGGTTCAAATCCCGGGTCTCGCACCTCTGATATTTTCACGTGTGAATCATTTCTAATATGATTACCACTTGCTTTACGGTGAAGGAAAACATCCTGAGAAAACCTGCATGTCTGAGAGAACCTAACAAGTTTTCGAAAGACATGTTCAGTCCGTCCGCACTTTGCCAGCGTGGTGGACTATGGCCTGATCCCCCTCGTATTGAAGGGAGGCTGAATACTTATCTCCATCTAATCTAATGTAAGCAAACCTATACTAGTATAATCGATAACGATCATCAAAAATACCAGCACTAGGGACCTAAGGCGATATGGTTTTAGTGCAGAGATGTCAAATTTTAAGCGATCTTGGATATATAATAATACTGTGTAGTTTCAAATATAATAAACATTAAGTAAAATGTGCTGCGTGCTCGATATAAAGACTCGGACTCAAAAATTTGTGTAAAGAATATTAAAAAAATGGAAATGTGAAATTTTACCAAAAGTCAACTATTTAACAAATAGCTTTTGTTTTGACCGATACGCGCAGCCCATTGTGTTTAATGTGTCAAAACAGTGTATTTTTTTTTTAATTAAAATTATATTTCCTCAGACTAAGGAATAATATAGACGGTGTCATAATTAAATATAAAGCCATACAATAATGATTTGAAAATAGTATACTAATTTCAATTTGTATACTGCGTGACTGAGTAAATATATATTAATAACTAGAAATAGCTAACAGATTTTTTTAATAAGGAAAAATATTTAATGAACGTAATATTATGCTATCTCATTTCAAGAGGAAGAGAACTAAGGCTTCGAAAATACAAAAGAATGTCATATTTTTTTATTAGTCATATTTTATTCATATTTTATTATTTAGTCATATTTTATTTTATATATATATTAATTAATACACATACAGATTTTCCCTTATTCTTTAAAGAAACTAAATGACCTGTATAGCAAAATCGAGAATAATAGCATAAACAGCAAATCACGCTACTCACATTTTTGACTTTGAAACTTATTTTGGCGGACTTTGTCTATATAAGTAGATAATTCTTTAGTCTGAGTATATTTCGTATAAATTCATTGTTAATTAATATGTTTTGAATATTTTTTTGTCAAATTTTGTATACTTTTCATAAAGGTATTTAAATCTTTCGCAGTTTTCGTAAAACAACATATTTTAGAGCAATGAGTTTTTGAAAAATAGATTTTATATTATAATATCAAATATGTGCTGTAACGTTTTTATCATGGTATCAATATTAACAAATTGTATGTACCTTTTAAACATGTAAAGATATTTTCCATAATCTGTAACGCTTAATGAATTTACTTCACAATATTATAACTATCTCTGTGATATGATCATCCTTTCACGTTCACGTTGACGTAAAATAGTTTCGCAAGTTCGCGCCATTTTTAATGTCAATAAGTGACAGACAGATTAATAATTGAGTTTTATAATGTGCCAAAAAAGTTTTTTTTATTTATTTATAAATATTGGTTTTCTAAGAAACTTTACTCCTTGTGAGAACTAACTTGTTTATAATTATTATAATTCTTTGTAAACATTTTGTGTGTTTATATCGGATTTTACTCACGAAACTTTTCTACGTCACGCCAACTTTAACTCTTGTAAAAGCACTTTGTATTTGCGTTATATTGTACCGTCGTCGCCTCTCACTAGTTTTTAATGTATTATCAAGTTTTGAATTTTAAACTAATTTGTGAGATTGTGAGCGGAAAATTTTATTGAAATATAAAAATGAAATTTCCCGCACACAGTCTTTTTTGAGATTTTATTGCATATACCTATAATTAATATTAATAGTGTAGTGACAGAATTTCGATTCGTAGTTACATTTGTCGTTTTCAAATGTAAAATTGTCATTTTCGATTACGAGGTGTGTAGTGTGGGGAGTTTTCAACTCATTGATCTGCTGGATCTTGGAATACGTGGTTTTCTCAAAAGTGGTCGTGCATTGTACCTACTCAATAATATAAATTTCTAATCCATTAGATTTAAGAGTTTTATTTCAACTGCCATAAAGTTTTCCTAAACAAAATATACATAATAATATTAAAATCGTAAAATATTAGTCTCTTCATATTGTGTTAAAATTTGATGTCCTTTTCTCCTTTCATCACTTGACTCAGCATTTGGTTGCAGAGCGCTGCGTAAGGATTCAGTTCCACGACCTAAAGCATATTTGTTTCATTTAAAAAACAATAATTATAATCAATAATGTAAATATGTTAATACACAACAATTATGCAACGTAGTAACTTGTGATAACTGATACATAAATAATAAATAAATATGTTGATTGTTCGGACCATCTACACACGACACCATCTAGTTCCATGGTAAGCTACGAGGCCTGTGTTATGGATACCAGATAGTTGATACACTACACATATAGACCCATGACTGTAGTACAAACATTCGTACTCATCAAACAAACGAATGCCCCCAGCGGAACTCGAACCCGCGACCGCTGGTACAGCAAGTAGGGTCACTACATACTGAGCCAAAGGTGTCGTCTATAAATAGCAAAAAAAAATCAATCAAATAGATTTTGAAAACTCTAAAATGGGAATATATGTGAAATTTAATTAAAAATGAAATTATAGGAACTGAAATTAGGCAAGAAAGAATTCATATAAAAACTCACACGTTTTTAAAGTATATAATAAATAATTCACTGATTAATATTTAAATTGCCACAATATGATAATATTATTAAAGCTACCGACCTGTTTCTTAGCGAAAGCGCTCCCAAGTTTAGCAGCCTCTTGGAAGCTCGAGCGTGCGCTATCATCATCGCCTAGCTTACGGTGAAGCACACCTTGTTGACAAAGTGCGAGTGCTCTTGCGCGGGTCTTCTTGCCCTCCGTTAGTTTTAACGCACGAGATATATCTTGCATTGCATCTAAAAATGAAAATTCTTAGCCAGTACTTAATTTGAGCAGTTAAATAAATATTTTAATGTGTAAAATATAATAGGTATATGTGCCTTTTGACGTTGCATTAGACTATCGCACTTGATGCACCAGAACTGACAATAAGAAGGCTAAAATGAAGAAAAATCTCTCAAAGTATAAACTTAACTCTTTTGCAAAATCTGCATTCGTTGGTGGATCAAAGCTATAATATTTTCATTATACCATTCATATTTAATAAGGATTATAGTAATTTTTAAAAAAATCTTGCTTCATCCTTATATATTTATTTACTTAGATGTTGCTATGTGACTGAAAAGTAAAATGCTTTTATATGTAGTACGTATTCAGCCCTTTTTAACGTCTCACAGCCCACTGCTGGGCACAGGCCTCCAATACGAGGGGGATTAGTCATTAGGTTATAGTCCACCATGCTGGGCAAGTGCGAGTCGGCGGACTTCACATGTATTTTTAAAACCGGCTAGGTTGTCTCAGACATGCAAGTTTTTCCTCACGATGTTTTCTTTCACTGTTAATACCGTGTTGGAAATTATTCGCACTTGAAAATATCAGAGGTGCGAGATCTGGGATTTGAAACCGCATCACTTGGTTTTCCAAGCGCGCACGGTACCACTGAGCTACCACTACGAGTATCTTAGCTATAATAATACTTAAATGACAATTACCATCGACCCTATCCATGAGTCGATACAGCTGTGCTCTATCATTGTACGCTGAAGCCCGCTCCGGTGCCACTTCTACGCTTTTATTCAGCAGTACTAAAGCCTCTTCTAGTTTTCCCGCCTCAGCCAATTGCACTCCTTGAAGGCCGAGAGATTTAGACTGTTTTTCTATTTCGGTAACATCTGTAAGAGATTTTTAAGAATTTATAAATATATAGTATACTGTATAGATTTCTCAGAGATGAGATATTTTCCGGCAGTAAAAAGTATCTTATATATTGACCCGGATAACCGGCTAACATCATGCCAAATTTCATCAAAATCTGTCCAGTAATTTTCTCGTGATGCGTTCCCAGACAGACAAATATTCTAAAAACTATAGATTCGCCTTCTGTATCGATAATAATGACTATTTCAATAAGATTTTCCAAGAAATATTTAATTTACAGATTCGACTTAGAATGTTATTATTTGTTTAGAAAAGTAAGAAACTTTGTCGGTTCAATTATGCTGTTGTCGATGAACTAACTGTCACGCACGGGTAAGCTGATATGTAGTATATTTTATTCATACTTTTTAAAATTGAAATTATGTATCTATTTTTTATTGTTAAATTTAAAATTGAAATTCTTTAATCACATTTTGGTAATATAAAAATGTACGATTATAAGAAAGAATAATACAATCATAATTTCCCAATATTATTTTATACTCATTTGGTGCTCAAAAAAGAGATTACCTGGAAAGTTTTCCGGGAGTTTTGAAAATTGTTGATTTTATAGATTTCGACGGGCTCTTTCCAAATTCCTATTTTGCCACCTCGTATCTTTGGCCATCAATATATATCCAATATGGCCAAGGCCATCAATTTAATATATAGGTAGGTATATATGGCGCCATGTTGGAAAAATGGCGCCAAAAACAGTTTTTTGATAATATCTTCTTTCCTACTCATTTAACGATGAAAATAATAAAATAAAGTTATGTAATAAATGAAAGTAGAGAAAATTTTCTATAATTTATATACTAACCTTTTTTTGGTAAAATGAATAATTTTAGCGTACGAGTGCTGCACAGTAGACTGAACACGCGTTTTTTATCATAGAGCTACAGTCTTCAAATTTTCACAGTATAAGCAATCTTATTAACCCAAAGCCATACAAATTATCAAAAAATATCTTTAAATGTTTACAGGGCGGCTCCTATGTAACTGAAAAAATTTAATCTATCCCATCGAGTATCGTTATTTAGAGATCGTTAGTAGATAAGCACTGTATTTTTTTTTAAATATTGGAAAACAAAGTATTTAGAAGCCACCAAAGTCAGTTTTTTTTACAAAATTTTATTCCGGAGAATTTATTAACTTCCTATTACCCTAGAAATTGAAATTTGATGATAATGCTTATTATCATCAAATTTTAATTTCCAGGGTATACCTTGTTTTTTTTTTTTTTTAACGTTGGGAAATGCATTTACGCACGACGTGTGGGACTCACCGGCGTAATACAGCCAGTACTACCCACTAAAACCCAACAAAACCTTCCCCCGTCTTAATGGGGCGTCGCAGGATCGCTTATGCATTCAACTACGACGCCCCGACGGCAGGTCTGCCGAAGCAGACCACCACAACCATGGGGTTGCTCCACAGTCCACTCTGCTATCAGAGAAGTACCAGGAGCAACCCACATGGTACACCGCCCCCCGAAGAGGGCCACCTCCCACCGCCCACCGAAGTGGGCAACCTCCCTGTGCGTTTCTTAGCTTCGCGCCCGGTTGGATTGCCGGGCACTACTGAGCCCCCCCACCACGACAAGGTGAACGCACGTTGGGAGGGAAGGTACAAATATCCTAATCTATATACCTACGTTAATATACCTACGTTATATACCTACGTATATAAAATAAAGGATACCTACGTATAAAAAAAAACAAAAATAAAACATGCAAATTTAAAATAAGTCGACATGTTTCGGAACCCTTCGTGTGCGATTCCGACTCGAACTTGACCGATTTGCCAATAGCTTAGCGAGCGGCAAAGATACGAGGTGGCGATGTAGAAATTCGGAAAGAGCCCATCGAAACCTATTATATAGCCAATTTTCAAAACTTCCGGAAAACTTTTCAGGTAAAACTACCAAATGACTGGACTATTAGGTACGCGTGATTATTTTGTTTCTTTAGAAACGTTCACATCTTGTAGATACAACGTTCTGAAATAGGTAAGAATAAATATTTATTGTGCTCTTAAGAATCCGATTAAAAATAACATACCTTCGTCTTCTACAAATTTGTCCCCTTCATCGAATACATTGGCGATAGTTGCCGTTGGATCGAAAATGCTTCTGAGAACAGCGCGATCTCGTTCGCTTAAATTTTCCAAATCCGCCATATTCAAACAAAATAAATAAAGTTTATCAAGGCGTCTATCATAAACAGGTTGTTCACGAATAACTGAATGCTAAGTTGTGCTTTATAAAGTTATTTTAATAGTGTTTATGAACCAGTATGCAAATAACTCGACTTGCTTATGGCTGGCTTTTACTTATGGCGAAATATTTTTATCTGGGAAAATCTGAAATAACCATGCTACACATCATATCTAGTTCATTTTTTGTTAATACATATCTAATTAATTATAATTTCTAAAGACAAAACTCTTTTCAAATATATGTATATATATTTTATTATTTGTTCTCCTTTTCACTTGCTACGAATGTTATGGTTATTACGTTGGTCATATGTATAGGCTTATTTGCCGCAATCTGGTTATACGTTAATTACTTACTTTATGAGACTTATTGATTGTAAGTACATTGTACCTGCGAGTCACCCTAGAGATAGATATTAATAAAATATATATTAATTTTGTTTCATTATAGGGCCTAAACAATACATTATTACAAAAAAAACTTTTTAACAAAAAAATAAAAACAGTATTCAAACAAAAGCACTAAAAAGTAAAAAATAACTGATTGGTAGTTTTCATTTACTATAAATACCTAATCAAATATTTTCGACGTCGGTGTGCTTTGCTTTGTATTGTCCAAATCGGTTAATAAATGACGAAGTTCTGAGGTAACAAACATAAAAAAAATACAGTCGAATTGAGAACCTCCTCCTTTTTGAAGTAGGTTGAAGACACAAACTTGGACTTGACAGGAAAAAAATGACCTTTCTATGGGGGACTGTGAACGTGTTAATTCACCCTTCAAATACTAAGCGTATACATTAAAATTAAACATAATTCTCGATATACTTGGTTACCTTGGTCTATTCAGAATAAATAAATTATGTACTACTACTAGCGAACTAATATATATGTGTTTTACAATCGGTTAATATATATATATATATATATATATATATATATATATATATATATATATATATATATATATATATATATATATTAACCGATTGTAAAACACTAAATGTTAAGTGAAGCTTACCATACATTAATGAAAACCGCATCCAAATCAGTTAAACCGTTTCTGAGATTAGCGCGCACAAACACACAAACAAACAGACATAAATTCTAAAAATCATTGTTTTGGGTTCTATTGCGTTAATAAAGATCCCCAATAACAGTTTTTTAAAATATTTTCCATGTACAGACAGCAATCAGTTACAATTTTATTATATGTACAAATAAGTGGCTAGTTTAAATAACATTTATGTGACTGCCTTGATGATTTAGTGGCTAGCGTGTACAGCAGCAGGTCTGGAGGTCCTGGGTTCGAATCTCAGATAGAGCTAAATATATAAGGTATTAGGTTGTTCTGTGAAGAAATACGCAGCCACAGCACAGAGTTGGAAAGTTGGTGGTGTTACATCCCCGTGTCGCGTCTGTCCTGTGTCTGATCTCTCATCTGTCAATTTGTGTTCTCATCGTATTTTGAGAGTGAAAGGAACAGAGAGTGCACGTTGTTAATACACACATGCCTACGCAGCAGTTCGAGTCTCATTGTCGATGAAATTTTGGCGCCGTATCCGAAATCGATAAGAAATACATACATAATTATTATAATTTTATTTTTATATAGTGAGTTTAATAAGAAGTAAATAAATAATAAGTATTTGGTATTTTTTTCAACAAGTTTAATAATCACTTCGTTTAAAATATAAATCCATAAACTAACATACCTATTACTTATAATTATTAGAGTACCAAAAATTTAGCTATGATCATATCGTCATGGTATGTTGATTTTGCTTGAAAAACCCAATCTACTGAGCCGTAGGTCGCGGATTCGACCTTACATGAGTTTAAATAGTTCATATAAATCTATACCACATTTTAGTTAAGCTCGGTATTTTTAAATCCTTCTGGTACTTACGTAAAAGAACGAAGTAATGAGAACGTTCTTTCTAAATTTCATTTCACTAATTAATATTTATTCGATCACTTGAATATTGTGCCATTAAGAAAATTGACATTTATAAAAAGATAATTTATTTTAAAAAAAGAATTATTACACTAAGTATTAGGTAGACATCAAAACATTTTTATATATTTACTCGACCATTTGCTAATAAAAATTAAGCACATCTTCATAACAAATTCAATTTTTCATTCTAATTAAAATTTTGGCTATAACTTACAATAGTAAGATAACCAACCATAAACCGTTTAAATTATGTTAATTTAGTGGAAAATATGCAAACTCAACTTGCTCACTAATGCCCGAATTCACCAACATCACTTAAGCTACCACCTACGTATGGGATCCCTAGTTTAAAAGTTCCCTTAACTAGCCCCTAAATTAAATTTCGTTTTACCATCGTCAGATCCCGTATTTCTAGTACCTATATTTAGGGACCATTTTAACATTTAGGTGACCCCTAACTGTCGGTGAAATAGAAACTGTCCCCTAACAGCCCCCTAAGTAGGCTTAGGGGATCCCTTAAACTTAGGTTACGTCGGCGAAATTGGGCATAAGACTTGTAAAAAAACATAAAAAGTTTTTTTCTCTTTAGTGTCTTAGGCATGAAAATTTTATAGCATAAAAATATTGAGCATATTTTTATATGACATCTGCTCTTATAATTTTTATGTCATTTTTAGTAGTTTGACCTTTTTCAATAAATCATGGCCAATTAGGTAATATAAAAAAACAATTTCTTTGAATTCCGAAGACTAAATAAATGCCTTGTGATGGTTGATTGATCATATAATATCTAAAATAAGCAATAAATATGTTATTGGCACTAATAATAGTCTTATTACAAAATAAATACTTATGTTTGTTACAACTACAATATCGTCAGATGTCCGAGAATAGCATAGACTATAGATTAAAAAAAAAAACAAATAAAGGAAAACTTTAAATACTTTTTAATTTTCCGTTTGTAACTTATAAAGAAATTATTTTTTAAATATTTTTTCATATGTAAGGGTTTCCAATTCTCTTTAAATAACAACTTGATAACATTTTTTTATGTAATTATCATATTATGATGTCGTAAATATACGACTTTTACTGTGGTGTTTTATTTAGTTTAATATTTAAGAATAACTTATAGAGACAAGGTAATGCATAATATACATATTTATAATTTTTGTAGGTAGGTACTGTTAATTACAAAAATATGCAAGCCATATCTAAAGTTAATTCTTTATGGTAGAGAAAACTTTCTTTTTTAACTTTAAAAAATTAATAACATCTTCAAAGTCTTGAAACTATAGTCTATGCAATCTAAGCTTTACAGTTATGAAATAAAAAACTTTACATGAATGATACTTAATTGTAATGTCACTTTAAACATGTAAAAATTGTCAATAGATAAAATGTTATATTTACAAAAATAGCTTAGTTGACCCATCTTTATAAGCTCCTTGTTTTAGAATAATTGAATGCTTCTTCATTTTCAACGAACAAATTCCTTTCATGACACTACCTTATATAACGTGATTACTAATATACAGGATGTGCTAGCGTTCACTAGCAATTGAGCCCATAACGTGTGTCATAAAGACAAAATAAAAGGTTGCAACTATATTTTCGATATGAAATCCAAATAATTTCACATATACTTTTAAAAGTTCTATAAAAGATGGGATAAGGCTTGCAATAGATTAATCTATATCACAATCCTTCAAATTAACTATAATAAACTATACTATTCGTGCGTCAGTTTTATTTAGATTATAAAAGATGATTATCACAGTTCAGGCCAAGTATATATATTTTTTTTAATTAAGGTAGACTACAAAACAAAAATTATCTAACCAAGTCCTACTTTATTTACCTATTTTAGAAAAAAATATATTCGGTGTTGCCATTTTTATTATTTATAAACCGGCCAGTGTGAAAGCACATCGTTTACATATAATATTAATAATCCAAATAAAGCCTGCTCCACTAAAACGCAAGCTATATTAGAAAATTAAAAGTTGCAAGAAAATAAACTCATAAAAAAAAAGAAAAAACAATAAAGTTTATATGTCACTAAATTAATATGTATAATTGATATACAATCTTAAGATGAAAAATGAATTTCAAAGACATTTTGGACATGACACAACAATACTTTAGGATCAGTTAATATCTTAAAATAATATATGGTGAAATATTTATACTATTTTCACCCAACTTCATAAGATGGAGGAGGATGTACTCAGTTCACTTGAATTTTTATTTTGTGTTTATTTCTGCAAATATTACACAGATTTTCTTGATTCTGTCTTTCATAAATAATAAATAAGTATATTAAACTTCACTTCACTTTCTTAGTTAAAATTATAAATAAAATTAATTCATTAAATAGATAAAAACTAACGTGCAATCTTTTAATTTCTCTAATATAGCTTTCATATGCACCACAAACCAAAATTATGATAACTGCTTTAATAAAGTTTTAATAATAAATCTTTGTCATACATAAAGGTATGTTGTATAATAAAATTTAACAGAAAAAAGAGCTAATCAACATATTAGACTAGATGCATCAAAACTGACTTTCATTAGTATGGTGTTAAGCAAATGTTTAAATAGCCCTTTTATTCCTTATACTAAATTTAAAACTTAAACTCGTCCACAGTTTCTTTCAAAGAAAAGATAAAACTGCTACATCATTAGAAGAAGTGAACCATTTAAATAATGGAACTCTTCAAAAGCAGAACATCATACGTACATATACAGCTTGGTCCAGTGGTGTAACAAGCTTTTTTGAGCCCCAATGCAAAAAAAATGGAAGTGTCCCGTTTTGCCTATTATGATAACTTATTTGGTCTGCCAATGCAAAAAAAATGGAAATGAATTTTTTTTTCTACCAGTTTTTTTCAAATGTCTATGAGGGCCATCCTTAGAAAAATGTTTTGAAATAAAACAATTGTTTTTGAGGCCCACTGAGGCCCCCTTGAATCATGGGGCCCATGAGATCGCATAGGTTGCATTAGCATAGCTACACCACTGGCTTTGTTATTAGTAGTACTTATTGAATTGTGAGTTCTTTAACTAGTTCTTTCATAGAATCTTTAAGCAGAGAACACATGAAAAATATAAAAACTATAACAAATTAACCTAAGAATATACAATTAAAATTAACCTTACACTAAAAATATCTACATAGAAAAGTTTAAAAAAAAATGACTTTTGTCATCAGCACATGATCTTTTAGGGCAAGATATATGAGATATACATAAACTTCATAGTTAATATCTATAGTTATTACATAAACATATTATGGTATATTTTAAAATGGAAATGAAGTTTATTTATATGTTTTAATTTATAATCTTAATTTTCACAAAATTTATGAATCAACAAAAATATGTGAAAATAAAGAAAATATAACAATTGTATTTGAGAATCAAATCGCGAAATGCGAATCAAAACATTCTAATATGCTATTGTTGAATTATGGAGTAATAAAATAATGTATATAACAATAAAATACGTTGCTAAGCAGCATTACACATTTACTATTTATTTAAAAACTTACTAAGAAAGCTTGTAACTTAATATTTATGTAAAAACTATTGATAATTTATTGAGTTAACTGATATTCATGAATAATACTTATCTTATACTTAGCCCTTTGATCGAGTTTCATGTCAATCTCATAATTTTTTGACTATCTAAAGTATTGTAATAAATTACATTTAGATAAAATTTGTTCCCTGAAGTGAGCACACTTGATCTCCTGCATTATTCCACAATTTCTTTTTTTATTACTTTCGGTAAGAGAATTGTCCATCTGCTAACATTTACATTAGGCTCAAGTAATATACATATTATAAGTACTTGAAATAGATATTGAACTGTAATTTCTAAGCTAACAAGTAATGGAATATTTTCTACAAGTATAGAATAGAAATATTGAGAAATTGTGAAATAAATATCAATTTATACCTTTCTGATACATATCCACTTGTATATGTTAGATGAAGTTATTGGATGGATTATAATGTATAAAATATATTGATAATGCTACCTCCTCATAAAACCTTTTGTTCCATCTGGACCTCTAGGGGCTCTAGGGGTTATAACTAAGACTCCAGGGGGTGGGGGAGAAGGAAATATCCCAGCAGTAGTGGCACCTGGTGGAAGCCTCACTAACACTTTTTTTTCTTTAGCTTTGGTATTTTCATTGTGACAGTTTTTCACTTTACCGCCACTCTGATTGTCATCAATGTTGATAACTTGTAATTTATCTTGCAACCGACTTAGACTGAAATATAAAGAAACATCACAGTCAATAAATATTTAGAAAATAAATATTCCATAACTATTCACATCCATATTCAGGATAAGTATAAAATATAAGTGCAGATACAGACTATACATACTTATCATCAATGACGTCCTCAGGACTTCGAGCCTCACCAAGTATACGTAATCGAGCTTCTTCGTACTCTTTTCGCCTTTGTTCCAATGTTTTAACGGGTCGAGCGCGACTTTCTCCATTTAGCTGGCCACTACCCAAAGATGATGGCCGTTTTAATATACGTATCGCTGGCTCCGGCATTACGCACTGGGATCCTATACACGCGTTGTCTTCCACAATTACGTTAGTAACCTTGCAAGCTTTGAGTGGCGGCACAGTTGACATCAGTTTAATTTTCTCGTCTAACTGAAACCAAGAATTTTATATGTAGAACTGTTGTTCGACCTAGGAGTCAAGGACACGCGACGTGGGGATCAGTTTTCACTGATAAACTTACGCCAATTTCGTCCATATCTTCCCAACTTTCACATACGTCAACTTCATCCTGCGCCGCCATGTTGCCGTTTGAATTTTGACTGACTGATTTATGAAGTTGCTATAAAAAAAAATAAAAAAAAATGGCGACATAGTCGCATAATGCCTGGCGTCTACTAGGTCGCCGAGTCGAGGCGAATCGAAGAAATTCGCCTCCTGTATATTTACTATGAAACTGCGTCCATTAGCGACAAGTCGCGGCGCGCCGAATCGAATCGATTCGACGCGGGGAATCGCAAGCGCACCGGAGAGTTTTTTATATTTTATTTAAACCTATGTCTCGTGAAGAGAAACAATAATTAACTATTGTGTTATATTATATAACTATACTATTATACTGTATACTAAAGATTTACCCTCGCTTCACTCGGATTCGTTCTTAAGTACGTTTTAATTTTTTTAGCGGAGTTGCGATAAATAAGCAATTCGATTCGATTCGGCTGAAATAGACGCTGGGTTTAATAATACTTTACTAAATTATATACTAACGACTTATTATTATTTATTGTATTAGGTGTGGTGCCGAGGTCGGCCCTAGCTATGTCGACCAGTTATGGTCCATTGTAGCTTAGACTAACGAATTACCCTCGATCCGCTCTGGTTCGCCCTTCGTTACGTTTTAACGTTTAGTATAGATCTCTAAGAGATGAGATGTTTTCACACAATAAAAAGAATATTTTATATTGAACCGTATAACCAGCTATAATCATACTAAATTTCATCATACCTAATCGGTCCTGTGGTTTTCTCGTGTTGCGTTTCCAGGCAGACAGGCAGACAGACAAAAACTCTAAAAACGATAGATTCGGCCTCTGTATCGATAATATTGACTATTTTAATAATATTTTCCAAAAACTATTTAATATACAACATCCACTCAGAATTTTATTATATGTATAGAAGATATTTTTAATCTTATTAATTATTAATAATTATATTTTTAAATAAACAAGTAGAATTTGTACATGTATGTTATTTTTTTTTTTGAATTGGTACTATTAATATAGTTTTTTTTATTATTTATATACACAGCACTTTAACCTAAACTATGATTTAAATTAAATACTAAAGAATTACTAATTAAATTTAGACTGTATATTAATAGTATTAGTTGCGTAGCATTTCTTTATAGTTTGTGGTATATATTATTAAGACTGATATATTAATAGACTGTATATATTTATCATATTCTATGAATTGTCATTTGTCAACAATCTAAATCTACTACTCTATGGTCAAAATACAACCAAGTACAACCATGTGAATTTGTTTTGACAGCCTGTAATAAAAAGGAAAATTAAATTTCAAATACTTAAAAATATATTATGTTATCGTATATATTTAACGTACTATAGAAGCCTATGTTTTGTTAGACGGCAACTATGTAAGTATATAAAAAGACTTGTGCAATAAACATTTTCAGTTGTGAGGTTATGAGTGTCAAATAAAAACGATTTATATTATTTTCAGTTAAGAACAATCATGGATTTCACCTCAAAATTTACCGCCCTATCAGGGCTGACATCTGTTGACCCAGAATTTGTTCAATTTCTTATGTTTGATGATGAAGATATCAAAAAATTAAGTGTGGCTAAGATTACTAATACAACATCCTTCGATGCAATGGGTAACCCGATAAAAGGAGGTCTATATGACCCTGCTTTAGGACCTATAAGGGAAAGAAATGACTTTTGTGTTACATGTTCCAATTCTCTTCTTAATTGTCCAGGTCATTTTGGCCACATAGAGCTGCCTCTTGTTGTAGTGAATCCATTGTTTATAAAGACTATTTATACATTGTTTCGTATCACATGCCTAAATTGTTTCAAAATCCAAATGGATGATCGCTTAAAGTTCATAATGAAGTTGCAATTGGAACTCTTAGATGCCGGTCATATCACTGCTGCTTTAGATTTAGAAAATTTTATTGGGGATGTCAAAGATTATAAAAGTGAAACATCACCAGAAAAGCCAAATAAAGTTATTAGAAAGTGCCAAAAACTTCTTAAGAAAAAAGACCCAATTTGTGAAGTATTTCAAAACAAAAATACAGATAAATTGAGAACAAAAATTATTAATAACTTTTTTAAAGCAATAAGCATCTCTAAAACTTGCCTTTATTGTACAGCTAAATTGATAAAAGTTACAACATCAGATAACAAAATTATGTACAATTTAAGCTCTGAAGGTGGAGGCAAAGGTATTAAAATATTAATGCCTGATGATTTAAAGCGCTATTGTAAAGCTATAGAACAAAACAATGAAGAACTTCTCATTCAATGTATACCAGTTTTAAAACATGCTAATGTAAAGCCTGTTACTGACATATTTTTTATGCAAGTTGTCCCAGTGTTGCCACCTAATGTCAGACCATGTAATATTTTACATGGAGAACTAATTGAGCACCCTCAAACAAATGTTTATAAGGGAATAATGCAAACTGCCTACAATTCAAGAGCTGTCTTACAAGTTCTAATGGCCTCAGACCATCAAAAAGCAATTGATGGTCTTGATCAACAGCCACGACAAGCTTATGAAAGTGTTATGGGCAAGACTGCACCAGAAAAACTGCACACAGTGTGGCAAGATTTACAAAAGCAAGTCAACAATTTGCTCAGTTGTGAAGGTCAAGGGGTTGCAAGTCAAGGATTGAAACAGATACTTGAAAAGAAAACTGGTGTAATAAGAATGCATATGATGGGTAAAAGAGTTAACTTTGCCGCTCGGTCTGTTATTACACCTGATCCCAATGTAGATATTGATGAGATTGGTATACCTGATGCATTCGCTACTAAACTTACATATCCTGTGCCTGTTACTGAGTGGAATGTCGATGAATTAAGAAAAATGGTAATAAATGGACCAAACAAGCATCCTGGAGCTGAAAAATTGGAAGTGAAAAATGGTAGAGTTATAAGAATACCTCCTGATTCCTTACAAAAGCGAAAGAGTTTGGCAAAAAAGTTGTTAACACCCGATGAATATAAGACTTCTGGATTAAAAATAGTTCATCGACATTTAGTTAATGGCGATGTACTTATACTTAACCGTCAACCGTCACTCCATAAACCTAGTATGATGGCGCACAGAGCAAGAATTCTTAAAGGTGAAAAAACTCTAAGATTACACTATGCCAATTGTAAATCCTACAATGCTGATTTTGATGGTGACGAAATGAATGCACATTTTCCTCAAAACGAAATTGCGAGAAGTGAAGCATATAACATAATGTCTGTTACAAGACAATACCTAGTGCCAAAAGACGGAACGCCATTGAGTGGTCTGATTCAAGATCATGTTATATCTGGGGTGAGAATGTCGTTAAGAGGCACATTTTTTACCAAATCTGATTATCAGCAACTAGTTTTGCAAGCATTATCAAATTTTAAAGGTGAAATAAAGTTATTGCCTCCGACAATTTTAAAACCCGTTACCTTGTGGTCTGGTAAACAAGTTCTGTCTACTATAATAATTAATATAATTCCCAAAGGAAAGCCTCGTATTACTTTGACTGGGACAGCCAAAATTGGTGCGAAAGCGTGGCAAAAGGAATCGTCAAGACCCTGGAATGCTGGAGGCACTCCTTTTACAAATCCTAATGAAATGTCTGAAGCAGAAGTAATAATTAGAAAAGGAGAGCTTTTGAGTGGAGTATTAGATAAAACGCATTATGGTGCAACACCCTATGGCTTAGTTCATTGTATGTACGAGTTATATGGCGGGGATAGCTCTAGCGCACTTTTGAGTTCTTTTTCAAAGATATTCACTTTCTACCTACAATGGATTGGATTTACTCTTGGCGTGAAGGATATTCTAGTCGTTGAAGAGGCTGATGAAAAAAGAGAGCATATTGTTCATCTCGTTAGACAGGCTGGTAGATTTGCTGCTGTAAAAGCTACCGAACTACCCGCAGATGTTGAAGAAAGCAAACTTAAAGATACAATTGGTGAAATGATGATTAAAGATCCAAAATTCCGTGCTAATTTGGACAGACAATACAAAAATATGCTTGATTCTTATACTAATAATATCAATACTGTTTGTTTATCTGAAGGATTATTAGAGAAATTCCCATCGAACAATTTGCAACTTATGGTACAATCAGGTGCGAAAGGGTCAACTGTGAATACTATGCAAATTTCATGTTTATTGGGTCAAATTGAGTTGGAAGGTAAGAGACCGCCACTAATGATATCAGGACGATCGTTACCCAGTTTCCCTCCTTATGATATATCACCCAGAGCTGGAGGCTTCATTGATGGTCGCTTTATGACAGGTATTCAACCTCAAGAATTCTTTTTCCATTGTATGGCTGGAAGAGAAGGTCTTATTGATACAGCTGTCAAGACAAGTCGTTCTGGTTACTTGCAAAGATGTTTGATAAAACATTTAGAAGGATTAAGTGTCGCCTATGATAATACAGTCAGAGATGCTGATAGTAGTGTGATACAATTTGCCTATGGAGAAGATGGACTTGACGTTTTAAAGTGTCAATTTTTAAAACAAGATCAACTTACGTTTCTTGATGTCAACTCTAACGCTGTTGTGAGTAAATCGGTCATAAAGAAACTTAAAGAAGAAACTGATACGAAAGCTATTGCAAAATCTAAAAAGTCCCTTAAAAAATGGAAAAAGAAAAATGGCAGTCCATTCGAAAAAGTGCGAACCAGTGCATTTGCTCAGTTTTCAGCAGTCGCTAGAAAAGATGTCGTTCTTGATGAGAAACCTACAGACCAAACTCGAGATCCTTATTACTGGGAATTGGAAAAAATGTGGCGTGAATTAGACGATGAAGAAAAACAGCAGTATAAAAGAAAGCCATGTCCAGACCCTATTCCTAGCAAAATGTCGCCTGAATTTAAATTTGGTACTATCAATGAACAGCTGGATGGGATTATTCAAAACTACTTGAAAAATCGCAACGAAACTAATTACAAAGAAATCACAGATAAAGATAAATTCATTGAAGTAATGAATGCTAAATATTTAGCTTCAATGGCAGCACCGGGTGAGCCCGTCGGATTATTAGCAGCTCAATCTATAGGTGAACCCTCTACTCAGATGACACTGAACACATTTCACTTCGCTGGAAGAGGAGACATGAACGTTACTCTCGGTATACCACGTTTGCGAGAAATATTAATGACGGCTTCTGCAAAATTAAAAACACCTAGCATGGACATACCCTTCCTACCAAACATTCCAGACTTAAATAAAAAAGCTGAGAAGCTGAGACAAAAAATGAACAGAGTAACGGTAGCTGACGTGCTTGAAAAGATTGACGTGCAGTGTGAAATAGTAACTAGTCCTGAAAGACAATTGAAGACTACCATGCGTTTTGCATTTTTACCATACTCTCAATACAAGACTCAGTACGTCGTAAAACCACCTCAGATTATAAAACACATGCAGAATAAATTCTTTAATGAAATGTTTGCAATGATTCGGAAGCAAGCTAAGACAACTAGTGGCGTGATGTGGGCAGCGGAGGAGAAGAAACGTCGTAAAGCTGCTAACGACGATGATGACGAAGATTTCGTTAGTGCTGAAGCGCGAGAAACAACTACTGTCGACCCGGATGCTGACAGCTCAGACGAAGAAGGACCGAATGATGATGATGATAATACTGATGTAAGTATATATTTTTATGTATCTAGTCTTTTCACATCGATAAAAAATAAAACCGCTCGATATTTGGAGGCCATATCAGGTACCGCTTATTCTTATGAATATACATCACTAATAATTGCAGTTGCGCTCGTTTTATAGGGACGCCTATAAACAGTAAACTATGTATATGTTGATTGAGTTTTAAGCTTCTTATTTTTAAATTTTACCCAAAGGCTTTCATCGTGAAAAAATTAGATTTGTGAAACTTACTCGTAAATTTACACATTTATAATATTAGTGTGATTAGATATAATGATGGCGTAACAGTACAAGATCATGAAATTATGAATAAAAATAAAAATAGATAGACTTTTAACGTTTCTAATTTTTACTTTGCAGGTAAGAATACGCAAAAAACGTTCTGAGGAACAAGAGTATGAAGATCCAGAATCAGAAGAAGAAGAAAAATCAGAAGACGAAGCGGAATCTGAGGAACAGTTAAAAGATGACGATCTAGAAATCACTCCAGAAATATCACCAGAAGATAGTAAAGCGATGGCCAATGTTGTAGATAATTTGAATAACGCTACCGACTATAGTTTTGACACAAAAACACACAAATGGTGCGAATTGACAGTCCTATTCCCGATCACGTTTTTACGTGTCGACTTATCACAAGCTCTTAGGGATGCTGCAACGAGATCTGTTGTTTACGAAATCAAGAACATTAAACGCGCAATTACAAACAAAGAGAAGAATGTTCTATATCTAAAAACGGAAGGCATTAATATTGTTCAAATGTCTAAATATGATAATTTACTGGACCTAAACAAGTTATATAGTAACGATATTCATGCGATTGCAAACACATATGGTATAGAAGCGGCAAACAAAGTGATTATTAAGGAAATTCAAAATGTATTCAATGTTTACGGTATCACAGTGGATCCTAGACATTTAACGTTGATCGCAGATTACATGACCTATAATGGTGTATTTGAACCGATGAGTAGAAAAGGTATGGAGGCATCGACTTCTCCACTACAGCAAATGTCTTTTGAGTCTTCTCTGATATTCTTGAAGGAAGCAGTTCTAAATTCTAAGAAGGACTTTATAAGGTCAGCCTCAAGTTGCCTGATGCTTGGGCAGCCATGTCGTAGCGGAACGGGCGCTTTCAGTTTGCAACATTACAGTAAAGTTGTGAGTTAAAAAGGTAAACTTCTATTGGAATGATTTGTAAATAAATGTTTATATAAAACGATCGTCTTTTAGTTGTTTTAAGAAAATGTTAGGTACTTTACATATTTTATATCAATAGAATTTTTTCTTACTTTCTGAGGTTGACCGCACATGCTTGGTTCTGAATACATATTAGACACTGGATTGCTATTGAAGCGAATGTAGGGAATTATTTTCGTTAAAATAAAATAGCCTGCGACCGACTGCGTAAAAAACGAACAAAAAAGATAAAACAAGTTGACGAAGGAACATAGTTTTATTCAGTCGGAGACACAAACGTACATGTTTTATAATGCACTAGCATTGCCCGCGGCTCCGCCCGCGTTCAGGTAATCAAAAAGTCAATTCTTAGGTTTTACATAGTATACTCTTACAATGCAGTTTTTGTTTTTTTCAGTCTAGTCGACAAGTTGAAAATGGTACAAAATAGAGATACTGCTCTTAAAATTATGTGCGATAGCTCATTGGATCCGGAATGACGCCTAGAAAAATGTGCCAAAAGTTATAAACAAACAATTTTTTTTATGTGCGTGTGTATTACATGCTTTTGACACATTTTTCTAGACGTCATTCCGGATCCAATGAGCTGTGGCACATAATTTTATGAGCAGTATCTCTATTTTGTACTATTTTCAACTTGTCGACTAGACTATTTTATCAGAAATGAGATATTTTCCCGCAGTAAAAAAGTATCCTATATGTTGACTCGGATAACCAGCTATCACCATACGAAATTTCATCAAAATCCCTCCAGTGGTTTTTCTGTGATGCGGTAACAGACGGACAGACAAAAATTCTAAAAACTATAGATTACTCTGTATCGATAATAATGTCTATTTCAATAAGATTTTCCAAGAAATATTTAATATTTAAGTTGTACATTCTAAGCCGAATCTGTACAGATTCGGCTTAGTATGTACAACTTTATTATACGTATAGATGCTTAAACGGCTTGATGGATTTTAGATTGAGAGGTGTCTTAAAAGCGTGAGCGCGCCAAAGATATTTATAATTTATAAGAAAGATATTTATTTACATATATTTACTCGAAAAACAATCCTTCGGCTGAAGTCTGGTAATAATAATAGACTTAGGATGATGTTCTCCTAGCCGATTTCGGCTACGGCGGCCAATCTCATTGAGATTAGCCAACTGCGCAGGAGATATTATAGTGCTCAAGTGTACGCGCAGACACAAGTGCACTCTCTATTCCTATCACTCTCATACTCCGGTGGGACGACCACTCGACACGACCGGTGAGAGTTAAGGCGCAGGACCGACGGCTTTACGTGCTCTCCGAGGCACGGGGGTGAAACACCGCCAACTTCCCAACTCCGGGCTGTTACTGAGACTTATTAGACAGAAAGACTCAATAACTAAACTTGGCCCGACCCGGGACTCGAACCCAGGACCTCCGGGTGTGCAGCCGTACATGCTAGCCACTACACCACCGAGGCAGTTTATTTTATTTGAGGCAGACTTAGGATACAATGAATGCGACAGTGCTTGAATTTTGAAAAGGACCAGCCAAGTTCGTAAAAAGCACATTGTCACAATTTAACAAGTTCGTTTTTATACAAAAATTAAATAACATTAATTTGTTTTTGGGTAAATAAAACAAAAAACATCAATTATTTCTTTTTTTGTATTTCTCCCGACATTTTTAAAGTAGAGTATACAAATATGCTTAAGAATAAGTATTTCATCAGCATGGATACCACATAATATGTATTGTGTTCGACACATTACGTTATTGATCTAAATCTAGACTCCTGTAAGATGCGTCATTGGTCATAGACAATAATTATTATTTGGTAAAATATGAACAAAATACTTAATAGGTGATAATAATCAATAATTAAAACAAATTACTTACAAAATGGAATATATTTTAGTATCATGTAAAATTGTATTTCAAAGTTTTTGATCCTAAGATATATTTTTTGTTGTATCGTTATTAGTTATTTCATTTACAGCCAAAAATAAACGTAGACATTTGTGTGTAATTGGTAAAAAAATCTGCTTAAAATTACTTAATAACAGAATGATCACATTATTTCCGGGCACACACCGTCTTTAGACGCCGTGTGTACTATATAAAACTAAAACCATAAATAACTTACATATTACTATTACTGCTTATTTATCGCAACATTCGCTTCAAGCGAACAAAGAAGGGTTTAAAAAATTCACAACTCATAATTACCGTTTGGCATTCGACATTAAGCATAGACTAACTTTATATGAAATAGGTTTTACCTTTAAAAAGTTATTTAGTCTATGACATTTTATTTCGAAAAATGACATTGTATTCGAATTTCGAGTTCAAAATTTAAAAAAATGCAATTAATGGCGCCTTAAATTTTTATAGAGTCAATATATTTTAAAATCGGATGCGAGGCTTATCGAAGTCACTGGCTAGGACGGTAACGTATTTTCATTAAAAATCTTGGACCCATCGTCATTTACATCTTTCACGCGTCTCTATTATTCTATACACAAGCTATAAAAATCATGAATACTTGTATGGTACTTAAATAATAATACAATATTAATAAATATACAGCATGTTTTATGTTACGATACAAATTCCAGGTTAGGTTTGTGGTCTAAACAGGTTATTATCACAGCCGTATTGATGTGCGTCTCTCATGTATTTACGCTAAAATACATTGAACAGAATTAAAAGACTATGCAAAATTTTACTTTAAGAAATACAAAGGACCAGCAGTTATACCATTCAAGGTTTCAATCAGCGTTGAAACCGTGAACGTTTTAAGCTGATCTCGTTCAAAAATAACTAACAAAAACAAAATTATAAGAAATATCTACACTATTTTGCACACTGAAGTCTCAAGTAAAATTTATAACAATGGAAAGTTTATCGTAACGTGAGCTCAAAGCAAACACAACCTACAAAATATAAAAAAATAATTTTTAAATTTTAAAATTTGTGGAGCGATAAATTAATAGAAAAAAAGGGTATTCATATATTAATTTTTACAATTATGAGTATCACCTCTCTTTCTTTCATGTAGAGGGCTGTCTCTGTCTTACCATTTAACAATATTTAAATAGACTTCAGTAAAGTTGTGTTATGCCGAGCGTTTGTAAACGTGCTATTGCGCGGTTTCCGCTGTGTTCTGGTTGCTTGCCGTTCTCTTTTCTAGTTTCTGCGCCTTTTTGGCGGCGGCCTTCTTGGCTAATGCTTCATCTTCAGCCGGATTGTCCCACTCTTGTCGTCGTCCTGAAGCGAAGAGGTTGTAGAATGTCGCACAGAATATGTACACGCCACCCGCGATGTAGAAAACTATCCTCCATTGGGCTTGAGTTGGCTATGGGATTAGAGAAAATATTAGAGACTTATTAAATATATTGTTTGAAAAGAAATATTTATTAGTAGTGTAGTATCGAATATAATAGAAATCGACGGACATTTTTAAAAGAAAAAAAAATATGTATAGATAATAAAAAAATTCAAGGTTTTAAATGAAGACCAAATTAAATTCTAATTAACTAATTTCTATAATCTAAATAAGCCCTCAGATCTCATAATCTATTGGTCATTGGGCAACCGTTTCGCGCGTCGTCACGCTGCGTAGTGCATAGGCAGTGGTGGAACTCCCACGCCCATCGCGCGACACACCCCTCTAGCGTGAATTCTCATCATGGCAATGTAGACAAAAACGCGTTTATTTTAATAATATTTAATTTAATGTGTCTGTTTACATCCTTATCTTACTACTATGTAGTATTCATATGAAAGTTTGTATGTGATTCATGTTCGTTACGCACGTTTAAAACGTCTTTGGAGGTATTTGAATGAAATTACTATACAGATAGGTACAACAGCTTATCGTATTAATATTTTTAGGCACCAAGAGACAGCAAAACGATGGTAAGTCACTAATTTAAAAACACTAACATCGTTATTATTTATCTGACTACCAACAATAATAATATACTTAATTGGAATTTAAAACAGGATATTTCTATTTTGAATAGCTTTTAATACATACCCTGCCCTCGATGATATATCCGGCGACGATGGGCGCCAGAAGACCTGTGAGGTTGGCGAGGCAGTTAGTGAAGGCCATTAGAATGCCGGCGAATCTTGGCGAGATGTCCAAGTGGTTTACCTGTTGGAAGAATCAAATATTATTTTGAAGCACTGAGTATTATAAATTAAACTTCCCCACCGCGTTGTATTTGTCTGGACTTATCTCAAAAAGTACTGTACGTACATATTTTCGTACGTTTTCGCCAATAGCAAGAGAGATTAAATCTGAAAGGTATAGTTATAAATATTTGGCGAAAATAAGCTACAGGTAGGATGATATTTATGAATTAAGTCAAAGAATTCCGTTTATTTTGAGAGCTTATTTATAATAAATGCAAAGGGCATATACATATGGACGAGGTGAATCACTATTGTTTTAGGTATATTATGAAAGAGAGCAATAACATCCCATAAAGTGGACTGACGACTTGATCAATATTGCTCAGTTCTCATACATATATTTCTATACCTGAAAGATATATCATAGAATATCTATTCTTTTAAAACTAAGTTTAAATAGACAATTTTCAAATTACCTTGAAACCGGAGTAGATACCACCGTTGAGGCCGACACCGACGGCGAGTATCGCGACGGTGGCGGCGGGGTTGCAGCCGGTGTTCGCGGCGATGAACAGACCGAGCGCTGGACCATATTCACCTGGAAAAATAACAATTAAAATAATGTTTAAAATGTGAAACTTTATATAAGTGCGTTTTCATGTGACGGTTTAAAGGATTTTAGTAAAATTCGGAATGGATGGGAGAAAGCTATATCCAAGATTAACATGGCTACTTTTTCATATATGTACTATGTACCTATCGTGGGTGCGAAGTCGCGAGCAAAACTAGTATGTATGAACAATAAGAAACCACAAGGATACGTAAACTTGTTTATTTTATACCGATTTTAAGAAAATGGAATATGTAAATGAAATTAATTTTGAGCAAGATGTGTCCAACTCGCATGAGGTCACCGTGGAAAAACCGTGGTCGTGGTGTTATGTTCGAACTTCGAAACCCACTGCGTTGAAGCGAAAACTGAAGCCTTTATTTACTCTGCAGTGGGGCAGATAACTAATGTCACCGATATTGGCTTCCGAAGACCAGTCAGAAACTTAACTATAAACATTTTAATGTAAAAAAAGGTTTTTCTTTAATGTAATAATTTCAATAGTTTGTTTTCCCAAAATATAGGTACTAAATCATATATTTTTGTTAATTTTAATATGTATTTTAACTTACCAATACTGTTAATGATCTTCCTGACTTGGGTATGGTTGAAACGCCCGCTTGACAACATCCAGTCGGCGACCACGGAGATGAACATTGAGAAAAACCACATGCACAGGTAGGGCAAGGCCGACACGAAACCGTTCTGAAATTATATGCATCATTATTATTACTTTAAAAATTGGTATACTCAACAAACTTAGGACTTTCGGTTGTCACTATAACATGACAGTCCTTCTTTTTTTTAATTAAATTTTTCTATGTTTCTGCCAGTACTAAATATTAACTGTAGTAATTTAAAGTGTAATTTGTTACACATACCTACACATAATCTAATATATAAATATCTCGGGTCACCGTGTTTGTGGTCGCACTCCTAAGAAACGGCTCGACTGATTTTAATGATTTTGTCTTGTATATTTGGTAAGTATGAGAATAGTTAAAGTATTTTTCACCCTCCTACCCACACGTCCCATTTTTTTAAATACCAAAACAGAACAAAAGAAATACCAGAACAATATCCAAATAATTTCATATTATATAAAGTCATTATTATCATATACATTATTATATAAGTATTACAATATATTTAATTTAATATTTATAAGATAAAGCAAAAGAGTTTTTTTTTGAATATTGAACGCGGGCGATTTTGATGTAGGTAGGTCAATTCTAGAACCTTTCATCGCATAATATCATCCTCGTTTATGGAGAAAAATCTTAGTAAATGAAAAATGTGATGCACCAACATATATACATACAATTACATGCTAGCGACTCACCCTCGCTTCGCTCGGGTTCGTCCCGAGGTTGCTTCCCCATACAAACTTTCATCCCTATTTTCACCTTTTGAAGGGATGATTTTCGGGATAAAAACTATCCTATATCCTACTCGGGGTCTCAAACTATCTTCTTACCAAATATCATCTAAATCGGTTCAGTAGTTTCGGAGCTTATTCAGTACCAACAAAGAAACAAACAAAAAAAAAAAAAACAAACAAACAAACAAAGTATAGACAATATTTATACATATACATCCTATAAAAATATTATTAAAATTAGAAGCATTAATATGGATCGATCGTTTACATATGGACGTAAATAAAGTACCTACTTATGGATTAGGTAAATATTATTAATATTTTTTATTATCTTTTAATCAAATTTATCGATATTAGCTGTGATGTAATTTTTTATCTGTAGATTTGATTGTATCGCTGATAATAAGTGACTCAACTAGGTCAACTAACAAATGACGATACATAAATTAAAAATACTTCAGATTCTTAAGCGTAGTAATAAATTTATTATAAATATTTTTAGTTGTTTTATATTTGAAGAAGTTAATATTATTTTTATTCTAGACTAACTGACCCAACAGACGTTGTCCTGTTCTAATTCCAATTTTATTTAGGATCTTTGATGTGATACAAAAATTGTTTAGAAGAAAGGGACTCTCGTTTTCCCCCGTATTTCCTAATTTCCCATCTTGCCCAAAATGTTTCCCTAAAGCCCTTACTCAAACACTATTATGAAAATTTAAAAAAATCATCTGCCAAATCGGTCCATTCGGTCTTAAGTGACGTGTTTAAAAACGAACACCATCATATTTTTAATGTTAATATATATATATACTAGCGGCTCACCCTCGCTTCGCTCGGGTTCGTCGCTAGGTACGTTTTAAATAGATATAAAAAGAAAAAATCTTTCTTTCTCACATTTTAATTATATGTTTTAATACTTACCTATTCCGGACTAAGAGAAATCCAAAAATTAAAATATCATAAAAATTGGAACGCGGTCGAACGGGATAAAAAGTATCCTATGTCCTTCTCCTGGCTCTAAACTACCTCCCTGCCAATTTTCAGCTAAATCGGTTCAGCCGTTCTTGAGTTATAAGCGAAGTAACTAACACGACTTTCTTTTATATATATAGATATATATATATATATATATATAAAAAAATCACTAATAAAATCATATGAAAAAAATCACGTTCCCAAAATATGATTTGGCTCTACTTCAAACTGCCGCTTAGCCAATTAATAATAATCGTGTACATATTGGTTTGTTCCGGCATATAGAGTTCGACCTATTTTATAAAATCGGAATACTTTCAAGGTTTATCTTCAAATCTTGTCTATCGTTTTTTATTGGCTGTAGTAGGTAGGTACTATGCCAAAGATCACGGGTTCAAATTTCATACGCAGTGATATTGTATAAGCCTTGTCACTTGTCAGTTTTAATTAAAATGTGGTTTATAATTACATAATGGACACTTTCAATTAAGTGCTTAAGACTAATACCAAAGGACGCTTGTATTATTACCATTTTTACAATAGTGCATTTATTTTTGCTTTTTTTTTTATTTCTTGTTTTTTAGCATTTTTCATTACAAATTTCATTTAAACATAAAGTTGTATATACTGTTGTAAGCCATTTATAAAACCGGTTATTTTAATACCCCACTCGATAGGTTTTGAGGAAAAAAAATTGAAGACGGCTGAAGATTTTGAGGCGCCAAAAATCGGCTATTTTAATTTTTATAATTTTGCTATACCTAGTGTCACACTCAAGTCTAACGACACTTCTTAAGATAAAATCCGTCAATCCGTTTAGGCTATAGAGCGTGCCAAAGAAATATACATACATACACTCGAAAAACATAACCCATCTTCTGGCGCAGTCGGGTAAAGATATTATATCTATATTTTTTCATATTAGTTAAATTTCGTTTACTTAAAACTTTTCGGGCTAAAATAAGGACATTTTTACACATATACCTACTCAGTAATAGGGTTCAGACAAGATCTCTAAAAATAAATATCTTGCTGTTGTTGTAATTAATAAAAAATTAGACTACGGTATTTTATTACAGGAAAAAAATAGTTTAGTCGTTGAGTGTAGTTTAGTCTAATTGAAAGCCGCCAGAGTCATGATTCCAAAGGGTCAATTGAGCGACTCGCCTCTTGACCTCTCGACAGCTGAGATGATTAATGTGAATGAAATCGTGCTAGTGCGTCCAGTAAATATCCTAATGTTGTTAGCCGACCATATATTTTTCAGCATTAGATTGTCTCGTCATATCTACGAATAAATAATGAGTATTTATTCGTAGCGTCATATGTATAACAATGTGCTTACTTAGGCATGCTTTTTTGTTTTATAAACGTAGTAGGTACCTGGGCGACCGAGCTTCGCTCGGAGTTTTTGGCCAGACATACAATTTTTTTTTAACTAAGAACTTGAATAAATACAAACAAAACAAAAGTAAAATCTTTGTATACGACTGGGATTCAAACCCGGAGGGACAACTATGATAGTCACCTTGGCGGCTTGACCACGATGCTTATGCCAGAGCATACGAAGTTAGCGAGCCGTTTCTGAGATATATATATACTTATATATATAAGAATTGCTCCTTTAAAGATATAAGATATACATAGGTACGTTTATTTAATAAAATAATTTTTGTATATTCTTAAGTAGGAACATAATGGGTAACGATTTACACCTATAAAGCATTCATTTTTTGCTAAACTTTAATTTTGTGTCAGTTTTGTTCATCATCAGTTTTGTTTTACTTATTGTTATAGAAAATGTATGTATATTTAAGTATATATTTCTGTTGCGAAAACGACCTCAAATATAAATCTAAACGAAAGTAACGTTTTTAAAAATACAAAAAAAAAAAATGAATATTCAAATTATATCTATTTAATATATTATTTTACAATATCGTACTTACATCTTTGATAGAGAAGTGGAGGACTTGACGCATGAAGGTTGGCAGCTCTGTCATGAGCGTCTCGTAGCCATAATTTTGTCCCATGTGTGCCAACATTATCGCCCAGAACGGCATCGACATTATGATCTTGCGCCATGGAATGGGTGGAGACTGGAAAATAGACGAATAACGTTATATAAGAAAGAATTTAATTTCTAAAAACTTCATTCACAAAGGCAGTGAGTGGATTGCCTGAATCTGTATTGAACGTACCCTTGAATCATTTATATTATACAATTCCAATTTTAAATTATTTAAAATAGCAAAAAATACTTATGTTAAATATTAAATAATGTGTAACTAATATGAAGTTTTTTTTTATAAATATCACTTACGCTGGAACCGGCAGCGCCCCACAACGAGCTCAAGATGTACTTTTTCTCCGGCTCCTTTATCCTGGGACAGTTCTCAGGGTCCTCAGACACAAAGAAGAGGAAGGCCAGACTCCACACAGTGCCGACGATGCCAAATACGTAGAAGATGGAAGGCCATCCGCCAGCAAACCCATAAGCAGAGAGCAAGCCGGAGAGCGGCATTGATATAACCGTGCCGAATTGTGCACCTGTATAATAATATTTGCTATACAGTATATAATAATATAATATCTAATCTATAGTAATCGAACTACTATTATGAATGCGAAAAGGACTTGCAACCTTTTGTATGGACCGGTGGCATAATTTTTTTTTCTTTCTCCAGTAGCATCAATCAAAAAAGTACTAGATACACAATCCCAAGCAAAAATTTTCTTAAAACTGTCACCAATTGTGTTTGGGTAATTATTCTAGTTGAAATAAATATACAACAATGTAAATTGAACCTTTAATACGATGTTTTCACAAAAAAATATAATTTAAAAGCACACTCAAATGTTCCAATGAGCGTTCATTGGTGAGGACATTTTTTTCGCTGATTGTGTATCTTACTTACATATACTTTTTGATCGTTGGCCAGTAGAATTAAACTTAGATTACTAAGAAGAATATATAAGAAGTCTATTTTTCTATTAAAGAAGAAACGAATGCTCTAAAACCGTAACCAGAGAATATTATGGTTGCTAATGGCTATTGAACTTTACTTCCGCTGAAAAGACTGAACGAATTTGGACCAAATTTAGTACACAAATAGAGTGTGATTTAACGCTTTAACCAAATAAATGATTCTATGCAATTAATTTCTTGCAAAATTTATTACAGTTTGTCTTTTAGCCGATTTTACGTATACCTATATAATTTAAAAATACACTTTTTGTAGGCAATAAACTGTCAAAAACCAATCAAGTAACTGACCTAAAATAAAAAGATACACCGACAACAAACTCTTTTAATATATTTTTTATATCCTCATCAAGTATGAAAATTGCTTCTCAATTGATGTTAACTTTCTCTACTTTGTTTTTAATTGATTAAAAATATACATACATATTAAATGAAAAAAAAAATTAACAGCACTAACCAGCATATACAGCTGCACCCATCCTACTCCTCTCATTGGGTGGAATCCATTTAGCCAACATAGCGTGAGAGCAGGGTACAATTGGTCCTTCACCAAGACCCTGTATGAATCTCACGAGGATCAGCCATCCGTATCCAGCTTCTGCAGCCACCGGAACGAAAAGACCAAACACTGAGTTGATCAACATGCCCACCCCGAGGAAAAGACGTGCACCATATCTGAAAGAACGATAGATATTTTAAAGTTTTGGTTAACAAGTAGATACATCGATATATTTGTACTAAGATAAACACACTAAGCAACAGATTTCTCGTAAATGGTTACTTAGGCGATGGTTGTAAGGTCAACTTTTTCAACCTTCTGGTAAGACCTCATGTTTTGAATGTATATATTTATTCTAATCTACTAAAGGAAAAACATGGTTTTGTACCTTACGCAATTTATTTAAAAAAAGAAAGTCTATAGGGCTTAATAGGGCTTTAAAGGAAAATCATTACCTATCCCGTTTACCCCAAATCGCTTAAATTTAAATTTAACGCGACTCATCTTGCTAACAACATGTACCAGATACAAGCGTAACGACTGAAAACTGTTGTCTTGGAAAAAAAATCGTATTTGGAGATTCTATCGATGGACTATGATCATACGTGCCAAAACTATTTCAAGTTTATTGTAGATATCAATGATATGTACAAGGCGTTCATTTAAAAGTCCAGCGCAAAACAGATGATTTAGTTATAATATGGGCTTTCAGCTGTTTATTGTTTGAAATTTTAAAAAGTTATATAATGACTTAGCAACTGCTTTTTAGTTTTTTTTTTCGTACAACTTATATTTTAATGAATATATAAAAGGCAAATTAGAAAGCGACAGAAGATAACAGGTATCCAAAATTGAAATTTCTTGCAATTTTTATACTTACATATTTTTTATAAATGCTTCCCCACTGCAAATATTAGAGAAGCCCATACCTAGCTGTATTATGTGAAGGATACTTTAGATATTATTATCACATTATACAAAATGGAGCCATAAATTAAACATGAGGAAAAAATCGATTATAATTCCGACCTGCATAAGCAATATGTTTTAGATATGATATACTCGCCATTGTTAATTGTACGATGATGTTGTACAAATGCTATAAAGGAGACTATAAAATCTATACATATAATAAAATCGTAACTAAGCCGAATCTGTACATTGAATATTTTTTTGGAAATTTTGTTAAAATAGACTTTATTATCGATAAAGAGGCCGAATTTATAGTTTTTAGAATTTTTGTCTGTCTGTCTGTCTTTCTGTCTGTCTGTCTGTCACCGCATCACGGAAAAACTACTGGAGGGATTTTGATGAAATTTGGTATGGTGATAGCTGGTTAACCGGGTCAACATATAGGATACTTTTTACCACGGGAAAATTTCTCATTTCTGAGAAAAAATAAAAAAACTGTAATGTAAGAGTATACTAATATGTAAAACCTAAGAATTTGGTACGCGGGCGGAGCCGCGGGCAATGCTAGTAAATGCTATAAAGGAGACTATAAAATGTCATATATATCATAAAAAACCTACACTGTCAATGAAACAAATTGATCTACGAAATTGAAGCGACTCTACATTCAATAAAATTAACCCATTAACCTACATAGAGGAATGGAGTGTCTCGACGTGAAGAGTGGTCCCATAAACAATATACCATAATCGGCTGGCACCGACTTACTAATGAAAACTACCAATCAGTTATTTTTTAGTCTTTAGTGTTTTTATATAATTTTTCAAAAAGTTTTTATTTTTCCATTTTTAGTGTAGACATATTACTTAGTAGGAAAGTAAGAAGAAAGTATTTTAAAAATTCAGTAGTTGAAAAATTACACTGTAAAATTCATAGTCAAACATTTGATTTACCTTTATCTTGCTCAGGCTACAACCTGCATTTTTCTCAATAAAAAATCTACAAAACATTCGTATGTAATTTGGTTGCAGTATTATTTTATATATATATATATATATATATATATATATATATATATCAGATAACTAAAATTACTTTAGTCATAAAAATATTATTCTTTTAAACTAGTTGGAAGTCTGTTATTAAATAATACATAATATCTATACACACACAAATAATAAAATTCTAACTGAGTCGAATCTCATTAAATATTTTTCTGGAAAATCTTATTGAAATAGTCATTATTATGGATACAGAGGCCGAATCTATCCGTTAGAATCTTTCTTTGTCTGATGAAATTTGGTATGATGATAGCTGAGAAATCTATACTAAACGTTAAAACTTGACTAGGGACGAACCCGACCGGAGCGAAGATGAGTCCCTAGTGAGTATATTATATACGTATCTTTGAAATATAGAGTCGATATAATCGGAAGTGTCGTTTTAACATACAATGGAAGACGTAAGATAAATCATAATTACCTATAGAAGGTTACGGCAATGAAAGACGTATAAGAACCTATATTTAACTATTAAATTAAAACAGAGAAACTGTAATTTTTTTTAATTTTCTTTCGAATGTTATTAAAACAGTCCATTCATATTAATTTGGCTAAATTCATTTACCAACAAACGCTTGGCTTTTTCATCGGGGTATCTCATTACCACTTACCGAGATATTGCGACAGAAGTGACAATTCATACATAAACATCTATATTCAGCCCTTTTTAATGTCCCACTGCTCCACGAGGAGGATCAGGCCATAGTCCACCACGCTAGCAAAGTGCGAGTTGGCGGACTTCACATGTCTTTTGAAAACTAGCTAGGTTCTCTCAGACATGCAGGTTTCCTCACGATGTTTTCCTTCACCGTTAAGTGGCAATTAATATTGGAAATGATCGCACAAAAAATATCAGAGGTGCGAGAGCCGGGATTTGAACCCGCTTTACTCGGTTTTCTAAGTGAGCGCGTTACCACTGGCCTACCACTACCTTCTATATCTATAGGTACAGTAATACCAATTACCAAAACAATACAACTGAGCATTTGCCTCGCGAAAATCGAATATATAACCTGTATCTATATGTAACACAGTATCAGTTAAATACATACAATTGAGAAACAAGTTCGTATAAAAGCCAAAACTAACCTCTTAGACAGGATGCCGAAAGGAATTTGCGTGATGACGTAGCCATAGAAAAAGGAGGATAGGATGTAGCCTTGAAGCGTCGAACTCCATACAAAGTTCCCGTCTTGCAAGACGACCTAAAAATAACAATAAACACATGTAAAATTACGAAAATTCCTAATAAAATATAAGAAAATATACAATAATAATAATAAATAAATAAATTTTACCAAATAATATCTTACATAATCTACTTATATATAACTCATAGGTAGCTACAATATCTCTTGTAACAGGGTATTTTTTAAATTCATTGATTAACCACGCGAGCAGAATCGCGGACGAAGACTAGTTTCTCATAGAGTATGTAACCCTTTTTATAGTTTCTTATAAAGTAGTGTGAATGAAACTATATATTATTATAATTTATTCAAAATTCTTGAAAATGTTTTACATTACATAGTCGTAATATGTTAGCAATAGCTTTGGGTTATTATAATATATAACTATCACACACATTACATTATTCATACTAGGTAATATTATAAATGTGAAAGTGTGTTTGTTTGTTTGTCTTTCTTTCACGTCGAAACGGAGTGACGGATTGACGTGATTTTTTGTGTGGAGATAGTTGGAGGGCTGGAAAGTGACATAGGCTACTTTTTACCGCGGGTGATAATCTCATTCCCACGAGAAAACACGTTATAATACAAGCCAAAAATTATTTATGATCAGAACTACTTGAAACTTGATATTAATGTCGTTCAATACAATTAAATAAATACGTGTTTTTGAATTTTTCGAAATTCATCCCATAAGAGGGTAAAATAGGGGATGAAAGTTTGTATGAAACCTACTTTTTTGGAGTTTTTCTGACTAAAATTTCATTTTCATATGTGAAAGATAACTTACGAGTGTCATAAAGAGCCATAATTCTTAACATGACACTTTTAAAGAGAGCTGATAAAAATGAAAATTGCTTAGTATTCAATTTTATCACGTTAACATTTTTTTTTATGCAAATACAATTAAGTATATCAGATACAAAGTAGGTAATGAACAAACTTACACTGGTAGCATTAGGATCGACGGGGCCACATTCAGTGTCTATTGCCTCCTTATCTACAGGCAGCGCCGTGTGATTCACCATAGCTACGATGGCCACCGACATGTTTGTTCTCATGATGTACGCGTTGGCCATGCCCAGGAACAACATGAACGTCACCCAGTGACGGGTGCCGAGACCACCTGTTGGAAAGAAAATTATTAATAAGCGATGATATTTATCTCGAATCGAATCTGTACATTAAATATTTTTTGGAAAATATTATTGAAATAAACATTATTATCGATACAGAGGCCGAATCTATAGTTTTCAGAATTTTTGTCTTTCTGCCTGTCTGTCTGTCTGTCTGTCTGTTACCGCATCACGGCAAAACCACTGGAGGGATTTTGATGAAATTTGGTATGGTGATAGCTGATTATCTGGGTCAACATGTAGGATACTTTTTACCTTTAGTATACTACTTAATATGTAAAACCTACGAATTTGCTTTTTGGTCATCTGAACGCGGCCGGAGCCGCGGGAAATGCTAGTGTAGATATAATTTTAATGTGAATAAAAAAGGCAGTTCCTGAGAATTATGCATCAATAAAAAACAGACATAAAACAAACTAACGATTACACAAAACATATGTAACTACATTGTACAATATGTATGTACAATATTATATAGTATATATAACTTCCGAGAAATTACAAATTACAACTCTTCAAATTTGATATGCTTGTAACGAAACGCCCACGTCATATAATAAATAACCTTGTCTCAAACTAAGCAAAAGTAATCAGTTCCGAAAATGTAATTTTACCTTGCGCTTACGCATCGTTTCATAATACACTAATATTATAAAAGAATATTTTCTTATACTCATCATACCCTACCTATACATTTAAAAAAAAAGTAAAAATCTTAAGTCTATAACTATTAGGCCTAACATAATAAAATTAATTGTTCCGTATACATGTTAATAACCCCCTCTATCACTAACACTTGTTGGTCCATTTTACTGGACACCCTGTATATTATCAAAAACAAATAGCTTTTATTAGATTTTTTGCCCGAAAAAATAATATAAAATAAGAAATAAATTATTATCTCTTATTAATTTACATAACAATATGTACATTGCTCATAAGAATTGATTTTTTGGCCGCGGCTAAAATATTTCTGGAAATTATCATACTCGTACTTCAATAATTAAATTTTTTATCAGATGTTGATATTATTAGTATATTATAATGAATTAAATAAATAGTAATATTTTTTTACACGCAAATAAATTATCGTATAGGTCAGTTTGTAAACATTATAGATAAAACAATAAATATAACGTTTTTTTTTTGGACATTAACACACAGCACCACCTAGTTCCATGGTAAGCTACGAGGCTTGTGTTATGGATACCAGATAGTTGATACACTACACATATATAACTTTAAATACATACATATTATAAATATAAACACCCATGACTGGAGTACAAACATTCGTCATCACAACACATGAATGCCCCCAGCGGGACTCGAACCCGCGACCGCTGGCACAGTGAGTACTACAAGTCACTACAAACTGAGCCAAACGTGTCGTCATTGACCCTACAACATGAACCCTACGAATAAATAATATTATTTAATCGTAGCATGAACCCTTATAAAATTAGATTAATTATTACAAATAATAATAATATTATCTATATTATAAAATAAGAGCTATTTTAATTTTAATTCCTCAATTTTAACTATCTGTTTTAATGAATATTATCAAAACGGTAAACAGCTACTCGAAGTTACATAGACAGTATTAAAGTATGTAAATAAATGTATAGAAAAAAAGGAGAGTCCCTTTGCAAAATTTTGTAAAGTAATTTGAAGTAAAATTTAACAACACATATCAATTTAATCAATTCAATATAAAATGTTTAAATTTAACTTTCAAAAGTTTTTGTGTGCGATATTACATTATATTTTATAAGATTTTGTTATCTTAACTATCGATTATTTATCTCGGATAGTAAGTCTTCGATGGCATAATAATTAAGAATCTATAAATATTCTAAGTATAAAAAAAAGTGTTTGTTTGTGATTTCAAAATATTACTTTACTAACATCCTGCACTACCTTGTTAATAATTAATAGTTAAATATGAAAACAATATAAATATAATACGTTTATATCTTTGAAAACGTAACTTATATGTAAAAAATCTTTTACGTTCGTACATATGCAGACGATCGGTTTTAAAATAGACTGTGTACATGAAATAGCGGCCAAAACGTCAATTTCTACGTGTTTTAATTAATGTACATAATTAATTATAATTTTACGGATCATAACAGATATGGCAAGTAAATTTATATTAAAATAAAGCATCCGGTTGAGAGTCGAAGTTTCATACTGATTTTAATTAAATTTTATTCAAAATATTACCTTTTTCTTTAAATAAGAGATATTACTTTTTTTATATTAAATTATATAAAGACTATTTATAAATAATTATTAGATATAGATTTCGAGCTTTAGTCTATTGTTTTTTTTATTCTCATTTTAAAAGCTAATTAAGATTTTTTTATATTAACTTTTTTTTTAAACTAAAGATTAGTCAGTGTGTAGAACTAGCAACGTCTCGTCGGAAATGCTGTTGGTTTATAATTAGAATATATCGAAACGAACTCGTAGAGACGTATTTAGAAGAAACAATTATGTAGTTCGTTATATTCATAAGTAAAAAATGTCCATCCTACATAATATGTATAATAAAAACATTTTTTATTTGCTCAAGCTTAAGAGCTATAATAAATAAATAAATAATAATAAATAATAAATATGTTGGGACATTAACACACAGCACCATCTAGTTCCATGGTAAGCTACGAGGCTTGTGTTATGGATACCAGATAGTTGATACACTACACATATATGGACATTATATGTAACTTTAAATATGATGTTCTCCCTCCTAGCCGATTCCGGCTACGGCGGCCAATCTCATTGAGATTAGCCAACTGCGCAGGAGATATTATAGTGCACAAGTATACGCGCAGACACAAGTGCACTCTCTATTCCTATCACTCTCATACTCCGGTGGGACGACCACTCGACACGACCGGTGAGAGTTAAGGCGCAGGACCGACGGCTTTACGTGCTCTCCGAGGCACGGGGGTGAAACACCTCCAACTTCCCAACTCCGGGCTGTTACTGAGGCTTAATATACAGAAAGACTCAATAACTAAACTTGGCCCGACCCGGGACTCGAACCCAGGACCTCCGGGTGTGCAGCCGTACATGCTAGCCACTACACCACCGAGGCAGTTGAAGAACTTTAAATATATACATATTATAAATATATAATAGGTATGTATGTAAAGTTATATAACAGATCGTGAAACATTTAGGAACTCAGTAAATATATAAAACTTATATAGTATGTATATATTATATACATAATATATAATAATAATATGTGTTACTTTAATTAGCAGGATTGTAAATCACGAAATAAGGATGTTAAGAGGCCTATTACGTTATGACCGTGATTTTTCAATTTAATGTCCATCTTTGACGTTCTTATTCAGAGAAACTGAAACTCTTCGAAAATTTTGACTTATTTTAAGTGGAGAATAGTTATTTATATTTATATTATATTTATTATTATTTGAAATAAAGCCAAAATTCAGAAACAAGTTCTTAATAAAATGCGCGACAGCACTTTTTCAAGCTCATGGATTGAAATTCTATAATAACAAACGAAATGAAAAATATATAATAATATCTCGTATATAGTGGTTGAGTTTATAGCGGCCTTGGAATTTGAAAATATGTATTGGATTTCTACAAAAAAACCTTTTCAAAATCTTAAAAACTCTTGAAAACGTTTATAATCAGCTGTAAATATATATATATATATATATATATATATATATATATATATATATATATATATATATATAAATTTTATACCAGAATATACGTCAGTTCAAAAAAAACGTAATTACATACTTTTTTTTAAATAATTTATTATAAAAACTTTACGTAGAAGTATTTTTAACGGCAGAAAATGCTAGAAAACGCTCGAACTCGATACCATGGAACACGGTATATTTTGTGATAGGCCTCTTAACCAATCAATTAGTTGATATATTTAGCATACGATAATTTATCTAAGTTTGTTTTATAAATTAGTGTAAAAATCTTTATTCACGTTAACATATAATTTTCTTACATCATTCACTACATTAGAGACACACGAATATAACCGTCGTGTAATGACGTGCAATAGATATGTTGAATTAATACGTGCATTAGTCGTGTGTGGGTGAAATTTGAGTCAAAATTTGTTATTTACTAGCGATTTATCTCATTTCGCTCGGATGGGAGATCGTCTAGTTACTTTTTGTTTATATTATGTAATAATATATAATCTATTCGCGACTCACCCTCGCTCGGGTTCGTCCCTACCTACGTTTTAACATTTAATATAGATTTCTCAGATGTGAGATATTTTCCCGCAGTAAAAAGTATCCTATATCTTGACCAGCTATCATCATACTAAATTTTATCAAAGTGTTGTCTGTCCAGTGGTTTTTTCGTGATGCGGTCACAGACAGACAAACAGACAGACAGATAAACAAAAACTCTAAAAATTATAGACTCGGCCTATGTATCGATAATATTCCAATAAGATTTTCCAAAAAATGTTTATTGTTCAGATTCGGCTTAGTTAGAATTTAGTTACTTAGGGAAAATATCTCTGAGAAATCTATACTAAACGTCAAAACTAGGGACGACCCCGAGCAGAGCGAGGGTAAGTCGCTAGTATGTAATATGTAATTAAAATATAAGTCAACATCAATCTTACTTGTCATATAAAAAAAAAGTATATGGCATAAGTTCGAATACTTTATCGGAGGTACGTGTAGGCGTTTGCTTCGCTTGCCAAAATAAAGTATTATCTTAGTATGACGTCAATGGAAGTGGTAAAAAATCGGAAAGTTAAATATCAAATTTGAATGCATTTGCCATAAAATGTATAAAATATATTAAAAAAATAGTTTAGTTTTACCCTCGACTCCATTCGCATAGTAGATACTTATGTCGCTAAAAAATAAAAATATCTAAATATCTTTTTGGATTTTTTCTCGGTATTATTTAAATTTTTGCTTTTCGACATTTCGAATGCTATACAGCA